GATGATGTTTATGATGATGATACTGATAATTATGTCTGGTTTGATGATAATGGTGATGTTAATGTACACAATATACGTATTTTTTTCTTGTGAGTATATATATATATATATATATATATATATATATATATATATATATATATATATATATATATGTACACGTTTTTTGTATTAATATATATATATATATATATATATATATATATATATATATGTATTATGTGTGTGTGTGTTATATTTTGTGATTAATATGTATGTGAACAGTTGTTTATAAAATGACGGTTTAATAATAAAAGATGATTAAAATATAAATCAGAATTGTTTGGTTTTCACTTTTTTTTCTATATTTATATGATCTATATTTAGTTATAGTAAATTATAATATTAATAATAGTTAGGGTTATATGTATAATGTTAATTCCAAATACAACTACAAGTTTTTTCTTTATTAAGTTATAAAGCGCTTCACCATTTTTTACACTACTTACCAAAAATGAGGTTAATAGTTAATAGGTAAACCTGGTTTCGTTTTCGTAAACCAGGAAGTGAAATTCATTTTTGTTGTAATTCATTCATTCATCCATTTAATTCATTTTACATTTTAATTGTGATCTTTTCATTAAATAGATCTAATTTTTACATTATAAGCTGTAATTTTTATGTTGTATTTTGTAATCATTACATTATTCGTTATTGTAATATGTAAATTGTAAGTAATTAGTAATTGTAATGAAACGTGTGATCTGTAATGTAATGATTATGTAATGTGTATGTATTTTATTATAATATAATATAATGTAATGTTTAGAATGTAATATTAATGTAAGTAAATTAAATAAATATATGGTAATCAGACTGTAAAATGAAAATCTAAATCGACAATCATATTTGTAACAAATAATAAATACCGGTAAGAGCAAGAAGACGTAATAAGTAATAAAATAGTAACTAATAATTTAGTAATATAATGTTAATATATATTAATATAATTATTATAATATAACAACATATTACATGACATATTTTCAGCTTAATAATAATAACTTTAATTTTATATTTTATACTTATCTTAGGACTTAACTATAATGTCATTTAATTTAATGATGACTGTTTGTAATTCTGGATGTCGACCATCACAATCTTTATTGAAGACATAAGAAAATAATTAAATATAAAATTACATTAATATTATTTAATAGTTATAATAAATTATAATTGTAATAATTTTATTATTTTCACGAAATACTATTTTAATATAATAATAATGGGCAATCACCCAAATAAGAGCAATGCTGGTGCTACTATCAGTGAAGACATTAAAAATTCTAGTTGGTTTAGTTTTATTTTTTTCCATTAATAATATTTCATTATTCTCAATTGGGCAGTGGAGTAGTTTAGCGGTAAAGTGCTTGGCACAGCCATTACAATGACCAGATTTGATGCAAATAGATCCCCACCCATCGCATGCAACATATGGAATGCGTTTTTTCATGTGTATTTACACACTGTGCATTTGCTGTTGATGCCTCTTACAAATTTTGAAGAGGGATTTAAAAATTTGTTTCAATCTATTTATAATTTTTTATTATGAAGTTTATAGAATTTACAATGACAGGCTATAATTTTTAATTATGAATTTACGATAATTTTTTTATACATTGCAGGTGATATCTACAAGGCCTTATATGACTATGAAGCTCGAGATAAAGAGGACATGTCGTTCAAGGCGGCCGATCATTTGCTAGTCTTAAAAAAGTATTGCCATATAAATATATTCCCTATATTCATTCTCGCCATATTTTTATTACACGTTTGGCATATACTCGATAAATTCACCCGACATTTTCGCTACAGTTTCGCCAAATTTTACCCACATTTCTGCCACATTTTTGCCACATAAACCATTCCAGGATGGAGGACACGGGTTGGTGGTATGCAAAGAATTTAAGAACCAAAGAAAAAGGACTGATACCGTCAAATTTTGTTGCCATTGATAACAAGCAGCTAGAAAGCCAAGAGTCTGTATCCTATTTTTAATCATTATTGTACGTTTTGTATTAGTTTATGTTTGCAGTTTATTGTGTTCTAGGTTATTTTTTTTGTATTTTATTGCATTGTGTTGTATGGCATTGTATTGTGTTGTATCGTATGGTACTACATTGTATATTGTATTGTATTGTGTTGGGTGGTATTGTGTTGTATTGTTTTATATTATATCGTATTGTATTGTATATTGTATTGTGTTCTATTGTATTTTACCATAAGTATTTTAAGGTATGGAAAAGTATTGTGCAGACTTTTATTGTATGGCATTAAATTATGAAATGTTATGAGATGTGATGCTATCAAACCCTAGGTCAATTAGGCTTTAAACAAGTCAGCGAAATCTATTGGAATAATGAAGAGGACTAAATTTTATCTCACAAACTAAATTAACTTGTTAATTTCGAAATTTCGAAATTAACCACTGAACCTTCCTAACTAACAACTAACGCCTGGTTTGCCAACATAGTTGAGTTTATTAATTTACTAACAACATCTAACATGCCTCTAGAGGATTATTTAGAAACATTTTTTTATTAGTTGCTGAAAATTTTCGCGTGATCTTGGAACATTTCTATATAAGTGGACACTTAAGATGAGTTTACGTAAATTCTATTACGGTAATCCTGCTTTCTTTTAATTTTCAACTTTGAGAAGTAAATAAAATTACGCATGTGTAGTATTATAGAGCAAGAGAGAAAAAATACAAGAGAGAGAAAGAGAGAGAGTGAGTGAGTGAGAGAGAGAGAGATAATTTTTACATACTCTTCTCATGACATTCCTTCAAAATTATGTTACCACATTCAGCTGGTGGTTTGCGTGCACTCGACGAGATGCAATCAAGCAATTATGTTTGGCGGGAAACAAAAAGGGAACATTTCTTATAAGGGAGAGCACCGGTTGGTTTGATTGACTGATTGGTTGGTTGGTTGATTGATTAATTGATTGGTTGATTTATTTATTTTTTGATTGGTTGGTTGATTGATTGGTGGGTTGGTTAGTTTTGATTAGTTGGTTGATTGATTATTACCTGAAGGAGGTCGGTTCGTTTACTGACCCATTAAAAATGCGACGACAATGTTCATCACCAATGACATCATTCATTTCTACTACTAATATTATCAATGCTAATATCATTATCACTAGTATCATTATTATTACCTATATTGTCATCAATGTTATTATGATTAGCAGAACCGCATAGATTTGCATTATCCGTGCGTGATTGTGACTTGATAGCAGATAGCACGAACATCAAACATTACCACATTAAGCTGAGTAACAAAGGAATGTATTTCATCAGCAATAATCTTTATTTTGAGTCTCTCATAGAGCTCGTCAGATATTATAAAAGTGAGTACGTGTGTGTACCTGTGTGTACGTGCGTGTGTCTGTGTGTGTGTGCGTGTGTGTGTCTGTGTGTCATTTCGTCAAATATTATCGAGTTTTTAGCGCGTGAAATAGACGCTTTGAATAATTAAAAATAATTTAATGAAATTTCAAGCAAATACGGGCGGATTGTGTTGCAAACTGACGACACCGTGCCCGAAGCAAGCGGACACAATCCCATTTAAGAATTTGGAGGTGGATAGGGAGCGTGTCAAGCTTTACCATTTAATCGGAAAAGGATCGTTCGGTGAAGTATGGAAAGGTTGATTTTGGCTGTTGATTTAATCAGATCTCACGCACACACACACACACATACACGCACACACACATGCATGCACACACACACGCGCGCGCAAACGCACATTTTCAAACCAGGCACTTACAACGACACAACCGACGTAGCCATAAAAACGCTCATACCAGAGAAATCCAACAAAGAAAAATTTTTAGAGGAGGCAAAATTCCTCCAAAAAATGAATCACAAAAACATGGTACAAATAATGGGTGTCTGCAGCGAGGGCGAACCCGTATTTATTATCATGGAGTTTGTCGAATTAGGCTCCCTACGGAACTACCTACACAACGATAGGGGCAAAACTATTAAGTTCAAAACTCTTCTCGATATTGCTGCCCAGGTTTGTTCGTTCGTCGATTCTGCTTTTTTCTGGCTTATTGCTTATTTACCTGTTAGTTTTGCAAATTTCAGTTGACTTTCGTTCATATTTTAATGCGAACCACCCTGAAAGATGGTAACTATTTTATATAAGGTTAATGCCGACTGGCTGAGTTGTTATATATTCTGTTCTTTAGTATTTCGCAGATTTGAAAGTTTAAAAAAACAGGTTTCAAATATTTAATCAAACAAAAATAACTAATAAAACTAATTTTTATGTATGATAAGCTGTGAAAAACACTGACATAACTAACTAATGTAGATAGCTTCGGGTATGACTTACATTGAGCAGAACAACTTCATTCACCGCGATCTCAGGTCAGTAAACTGTCTCGTCGGCAGAAACAAAGCAATCAAAATCGCTGATTTCGGGTTGGCTAAAATTCAGGAAATTTACAATGCTAATGCTGGTTAGAGCTCCTGGTTCTTGCATGTATAATAAGTATTGTTAACTAATATCATTAATATACCGATGATGCGATGTAATATGTGACGTCATGTGATGAAATGTAAGACGTATTGCGATGTGATACCGTAAAATTATTATGAATTACTTGGGCGGGATTTATTAACCATTATATCATCTTTCTTACAACTACATTACACAACATCACATTTCCATTGCACAAACTCCTTAGAGACGCCATTCCCCGTAAGATGGACTCCTCCAGAAGCCATTGAGTTTCAAAGGTTCAGCATAAAATCGGATGTCTGGTCGTACGGTGTGGTACTGTTTGAACTTGTTACATATGGAGAATCGCCGTACGAGCGGGAAGGTGGGTCACTTAATATGTTTTTATTTATTTATTTACTATTAAACGTACTGACCTCCTTTTCCCCTCCATTTTCTTTTTTTATGTTTTAAATTTATCAAAAATAGGAATAGTCCCATTGGAAATCCTAGCTTTTCTAAATGACGGAAAGAGATTGAGCAATCCGTCAGTGAAATTCACAAAACAGCACAAAAAATACTATTGTCCGGATAGCATGTACAAAAAGATGCTGGACTGCTGGAACAAAAATCCGGATAAACGTCCGACGTTCGTTAAGTTGTCTGAATTCTTTGAAAGTTTTTACGAGTCATGTGAGGAAGATGATTAAGCAAATAAAAAATTTGTGAATAAGTGAATGAATCGATGAATGACTACTCAATGAATTCATTGAATGATTAAGGTGAATGAGAGTTATTAGTCAAACGTAGTACAGCAATAATATATGCTCGCGTAGAAAAATGATAAGTTTCAAAAAACGTTGAATTTTATATAAAAAATCATGCCAACATTTTAACTTTACTTATCTAATTTAAAATGTAGCTGAATTCAACCAATCATTCACTTATTCATTCAATCAATTTATCTATCTATCAATCAACCATTCCATCAACCATTCTTTTATTTGTTTATTCATGAAGATCTTATAATTTAAATCAAATATTTTTCAAAACTGTCATTTTCGCCTGAAAAAGTTTTTAAATAACAATCTTTATCAACTCCAACAAGCTACATTTACTGACTTGTCGTTTTGTATATGGATCTCAATCAAACCTATCTGCCAATCAGTGCATACATATATATATATAATATGTAAATGATATTTTATCTCAAATGCGTGAAAATTGTGACTATTAGCTTTTTCTCTATTCTCTGGTTTAAACACACACACACACGCACACACACACATATATATATTTTAATAATGCATATTATATTTAATATAAATCTATTTATACTATTGTATTTATATGACGTTATATATAAATTATATACATATTGTTATATATAAATTATATACATATTGTTATATATAAATTATATACATATTGTTATATATAAATTATATACATATTGTTATATATATATACATATTGTTATATATATATATTGTTATATATTTATACATATTGTTATATATATATATTATATATATATGCACACACACACACATATATATATATATATATGTGTGTGTGTCTTCTCACATCTATATTTATATATTTAGCATAACCGTGTTCGAAGAATTTTACGTGAATAAATACTATTTACTATTTAAGCTTTACCAAGTTTTGAGATTTCTTGTAAATATTATTATTCAATTAATCAATTAACCAATTAACTAATTAACCAATCATTCACAATAATTTGTGAGTTAGCGTATGTGCGTGCGTGCCACATATAATATTTCATAATTTAGATACGATAGATAGATAGATAGATAGATAGATAGATAGATAGATAGATAGATAGATAGATAGATAGATAGATAGATAGATAGATAGATAGACATATAGACAGATAAATAAACAGATAAAAAAGATAGATCAGATAAATGTAGATAACCAAATTAACCAAGTCAACCAACCAACTTGAAATATTTTGTATTTTAATGAGTATAATAGCAATAACAACAACAACAATAATAATAACAACAACAATAATAAAATATAAAATTTATTATTATTATAGTTAATTATTCGTAGAATAAACAAACATGTAAAGTCAAGTGCCTAACATAAGTGTTAACATGTGAAAACCTTTCGGGTAAAAATAATAGAATCAACAATAATAACAAAAATATTAACAATTATAACTACAATAATAACAACAATTTTGACAATAATTCCAAATATATCCCAAAAAATAGAAAACTGAAAAAGTATAATTGAAAAAAATGTACTGTGAGAAGATGAAACGAGCTTTTATTTTATTTATAACTTCACTAACTCCATACATTTAAGCATGCGAGAAACATATATATATATATATATATATATATATATATATATATATATATATATATATATATATATATATTAATAATATTAAACCTTCCAGAGATATTAACTACCTAATTATCAGTTAATTATTAATTAACTTAATTAATTAATTAGCTAAATAACTAATTAATTAGCCAATTACGTCGTAACTAGCACTAAACCACGAATAGCGAGATGCTAAGAGTGACAGCACCAGATGTAGGCATTTTTGAACATGCACAACCAGGGCGAGACGTTTATATTCTCCATCATATCGATGCCCCATCTCCTACCGACTGCAAAGGTCTCATCCTTCCAAGGCCACTGCCAGGTAAACACCGACCTTTCCGGGTGGGGCATCATGGCCAGGTGCCGACCGTCGTACGAGCATATTCCCGCAATGGCGTCGCGACTTCCGTTGGGATTTAGCGGGTAAGTCTGCGTGGGACTTCCGGTTTCGTCCACGTAGCGTAGGGAGAAAAGGCGGTTATCGTATGCGGCCTGGTAGGCTTTCTCGTTCCGGAATGAAAATCTACCTGTGTGCGTGTGTGTGAAGGTACAATAATACAATATATATCTGAATGCATGTGCATGGATATATTTTTAAAATTAAAGTGAATTGTCTGTCTTTGAGAGGATTAAAACTTTCAACCGACGACTCAAACTCACACCTCAGCCAATCTTAATCACACCCCAACCAACTCAACCAATGAAAATCGTACCTTCCCCATGGGCCACCCAAACTCCGAGGATTGCCGCTTCCAATCCCCTCATCATTATGGACGGAGTTTCACCAACTCTCACCGACACGAACCGAGACTCGTAACGATTCGATGCATTGCGTTCCAGCATTATACTCTGCTCTATCTCGTTCTCTGATTGGTTGGTGGATTGAATGGTTGACTAAATGATTGGTTGGTGGATTGAATGGTCGACTGAATGATTGGTTAGTGGATTGAATGGTTGACTGAATGATTGCCTGAATGAATGGTTGGTGGATTGAATGATTGACTGAACGCCCCTATAAATCAACCCCTCGTAAAATAGCCCCATAAAAATTCACCCCTCGCCAGAGGACCAACCTTTGTTATTGACATCAGTGCCCACCCAGCCTAAGTAAGTCATCAGCTGGCAACCATTGCAAACGCCCAGGCTGAATGTGTTTGGTCTTTGAGCGAAGATTTCAAACTGCCTTCGCACGTCATCGTTGAACTTTATCGAAGTGGCCCATCCTGATGATGATGATGTAGTGGTGATGATGATGATGTAGTTGTAATGATGATGATGATGTAGTGGTCATGATGATGATGTGATGATGATGATGACGACGACAGTAGTGATGATGATGATTGTAGGGATGGTGACGATCGTAAAGATGGTTTTGGCCGACGATGGTGATGATAGCGAAGAAGGTTATGATTGTGATGGTTGATAATGACGTTGACGCCGAAAGATGTGGGTATTCATTGCTGTTGGTTTATTCATCACTATTACACAATCAAAATCATTACGGTCAACACAATCATAACCATCATCACAACTATCATCATCATCATAATTTTCACAGACATCATCTTCATCATTTTCACAGACATCATCATCATCATCACCTTTTCCGGATCCAAAGACATCGGCATAGCTGAAACCCCCAACAAAGACAGCTCCTCTAAAATCAGTCAGCTTGACTGATCCATTCAAAAGATCCTAAATAATGAAACATTAAAGAATTACTTTTGGTAACTATTATACTCCAAGTTATAATTATCATCATCATCACTATCGTCATAACCAGATTATCATCATCATAACCACATTACTATCATCATCACTATCACAACCGCATCATCATTCTAACTACATGATAATAATAATAATAATAACTACATCGTCATCCTCATCATCACCAGCTTCATAACGGCCACCATCTCCAACCGCCCATCCCTAACCTGCATGTTGACGTCATAGACCTGGAAGCCGGCGAGCACAAGCGCGGCTGCCATCTCCCTGTCGCCGTTACTACCCTCCTCGCGAATGACGGCCACTTTAAATTCGTGCCCCACATCTTACAATCAGAAACAATAGGGCGTCAGCGAAAAATTATTTTCGGAATTCTCAATAAATAATTTTTCTCAATTAATAAATTAATTAATCAATTGATTATAAATATACTAAAAAGGATGGATAATAATTCAAAATTAATCAAATGCATGTCCGTATTAACCATAAAACAGTATGGAATTCATATCAAAAGTGAGCCTGTAGCGAGGGGGCTTGGCTTCTAATAGCCAATTACGTTGCGAGTGGGCGGAGTCAGCTTCGCATTGCAAGAGTTCTAATTGGTGGCTCGTCTCTTCCCAGATGTCACGTAGTAGAGGTGTTGATGACGATACGATGGCTGAATTGTTGTATTTTATTGTTACCTGGTTGTGATGGTGATGATGATAGTTATGATGATGGTGATGTTGATGGTCATCATGATGATGATGATGAGAGTTATGATGATTATAGTTATTATAATGATGATGATGATGTCGGCTGAAATTGTAAAAAAAGTAGTATAACATAACATAACATAAAGAGAAAAAAAATTGTATACATCAAGATTGGGTAGTGAACAGCCAATAGGAATGCACGAAGCACCAACGTCCTTGAACTTAGAAGTTACTTCTGTTACGTGATTGGCTGAAACTTCGATGACGTAGCCAAGTTCTTCGGCGAATAGAAATTCGACCATTGACTGAGAAACTAATGAGTAGATTGTAATGATGGCGATGATGATGGTGGTGATATAATAATAATAATAATTAACAATAATAAATAAAAATAATTAATTAAAAACTCCAGTCAACCAACCGTTACAATCGCCCTGACACCTGAGGTCTTCGAAGTTAACATCCAGGCCGCAGTTACCGGCAAATGCCATTTCGAGTACACACGTCAACAAACCACCGTCACTGACGTCATGGCCGGCGCTTATTCTGTCATCTGTCGACGAATTAATTTCAATTAAATTATACTATAAGGACAAAATTAAATTATTTTAATAACAAGATAAACATTAACTATATATTAAAATTATTATTTTAATACCGAAACAGGTGTTAACAAAAGTTAAACTACTCATAATTTTTTATAAAAGTTATAAAATTATTCAAAAATTTAAAATTGTATAATAAAAAAAAATTAAATTAACCTTTTACCAGTTCTTGCATAACTGCAAAAACATTTACAAACAGTTCTGGAAACTCCAAATCCGGACTTTCATCACCAACACAACCTAAGCATTGGGCCAGTGCTGAGCCCCCTAACCTATGTTTGCCAGGGGTCAGGGGCACATAAAATAGGTGACCTAATTAAATGTTAATTAACAATATTAAGTGACCTAATTAAATAATTATATAGTTGAATGGCCCAATCGTTATATAGAATAGTAACAGAAAAACCAAAATAGGATAGGATAATAATTGATTGCACAGCCATGAATGTTAATGAGCCTAATTGACCTTTGCGCTCAGGAACCTTGAGGTCAGGCGTTACGATGAGATAGATGTCAGGGCACGCGGCGTATGCTGATACAACCAAACTTCCTGTAAAATGATGACGAATGTGTGTGTACGAATGGGGTGATGTTGCATTAGAATGATCGATTGACTGATTCCTTCATTCATTCCTTTATTCATTCATTCATTCATTCATTCATTCATTCATTCATATAAAATCAAAACCCCCATCTTCATCATCTTCTTCATCATCACCATCATCCTTCTCCTCACTTCAGACCTGGAGATTTAACGACTTGCTTGTCAACCTTGGCAGACATGCTCAGTGAATCCTTTCCTCCGTCGACCGCGACTCCCAGTTGACCCATGACCTTTGCCATGGCCACACAGGCTTCGTAAATTCTGGCATCTTCGCCTGGTAATTTAGCCGGCCACATCCAATTAGCGCTGCACTTTACGTCCTAAAATTTGATTGGCCGATTGGAGTTGATTTATGCATTTGATTGGACGGTTTTGACCGATATTTAAATTTGAATGAATTTGAATGGTTGATTGGAGTTGATGTATGAAATTGATTGATTGGTTAGAATGGATGTATGAATTTGACTGGCTGGTTGGAATGGATGTATGAATTTGATTGGTCAGAATGGAAGTATGAATTTGACTGATTGCGTGGAGTTGATGATAAATTTGATTGGTTGGTTAATAAGGGGAGAAAAAAAAATCAATTTACTAACTTTAATATCACCGACATATGCAAACGACAAATTAGTCAGGGCTTCACCGACAGTCATGCGAGCCCCACATGACGCATCAACGAGCATTTTGATTGGTTGTTCACCTATCGAAGTCGCCGCCCCTTTCTGTGTGTGTAGTATGAACCATCCACATCATCATCATCATCCATCATCATCATCCACATCATCATCCCATCAGCATCAAATTCCTCTCAACCATCATAATCATCATCATCCTTAAAAACATAATCATCACCATCAGCACCAACCACATTGAAGTGCGACAGAGCAACGACAGCCACATCAGCCAGTGGCGTATGAAGAGGTCCGACGCATTGCTGCTGAGCTACCAATCCCGTTACTGACCTATCAACCTGAATGAACGAGTGCATGAATGAATGAATGAGTGAATGAATGAATGAGCGAATGATTGAGTGAATGAATGAATGGGCAAATGATTGAGAAATAAAAGAGTAGCTAAATAAATGAATGAACGAAGTAAAAACTGAATGAGTTTATTGTTAATTTTTTATGCGTTTTCATCTTCACTAAATTATCATCGCCATTATCATTGCAATCATCATCAACATCACTAACATCATCATCATCATCCTTAAAAAAATCATTATCATAATCAGGCTCAACCTTATTGGTTAAAAATCTTTTGCTGGCCACCGACGGAAGCTTTAGAACATTCTTCAGCAAGTCAAAAATATCCACATCGGCTGGTAACTTTATAGGCTTGTGATTGGTCGGTAGCCTGGATACGTGGTATTTCTGGTTTGTGATTGGTCGGTTATTCCGTATGAATAATTAATTAGCTTGCAGGATTTATTTCAATTGGTTGGTAGAGTTATTATGGTTGATAGTAATTAGATTACTGTTTGCAAAGAATAACTGGTAAATATAAGTTAATGTGATTGGTCGATTGACTGACACGGTAATATAATAATTGACTGTGATTGGTTGGTTATCATCATCACCATCATCACTAATTTGACCTCTGACCTTTCTAGGAACATTCCCGAGAATGAGGTCTAAATCTAGATCAACAGGATGTTGATTGGTAGGGATGTGCATTTTTATTTTTTTATTTTGAGGTTCTTTGGTAGAAAATGTTGCTACTCTGTCGTCAACGAATTTTATCTACGGTGTGTGTGTGTGTGTGAGCATGTGAAGATGGAGCGAAAAAAATGAAAAGAAAATAAATGAGTGATAAAATATATATAATTAATTAATTAGTTAATTAATTTATATATAAAAAAAACTAATTTGAAACAAATGGTTGATTAAGATAATGAAAATCTCTAAAAAAAACAGATAAATCAAGTTATTAGGACGAATAAGCGAATGAATAAATGAATGTATAAGTGAATAAATGAATGAATGAGAGAACGAGTGAATGAATGAGTAAAATCAGAAATAGCTAAACAGTAGAGATGCTGTAGCAAGGAAAGCTGTAGCAAGAAATCTCAGCAGCTTACCTTATTGTCGCCAGTGATGCATCCAACAACAGAAACCGGACATTTTTCCCTATTCCCTAATTCCTTCAAGAGTCCAAGCCCCTCCTCTTTCACGAGCAGTGCATTACTTTCCTGATATTCTGCCGTCCATACTTCCAAAGAACTGAGAGTGGCGTCGGCCAGTTCAAAAGCGCTTAATTTAATTAGTGCACCACCCGGATGACAGAGTTCTTTGAGGACATTTCCTAATTTGGATGAATTAGGCAGAGATATTGAAGATGAAGAAGAAGAGGAAGATGGTGGTCAAGATGAGGATGATGTTGGTGAGAGTGATAAGGAGATGTTGGTAATAGTGTTGGATGAACATGTGGATGAGAATTTTCACTGACCATTGCCCCCGGCTCCCTGATCATGTATGCTACAGATCGGGTTGCGACCGCCCAACTCCACGCATCCCCTCACCACTCTATTCATCTTCTCTCCCATTTCCGCGTCCCCTCGTTGCACAGCGTTAAAGTCCAACTCGACTCTTTCCTCGCTCTGACAGGATATCGAACTGGCACAGCCCCCACCCACTCCGATGCGCATCACTGGACCCCCTATCTTCACCACGTGCATCCCTGTTTTGTTAGGTTTGATGCAGGTCTAGTTATTATTATTTAGCCACTAGATCAATTCCTACTCTTACCACTACTTCTATCTCTACAGTTTCTATCAGTGCTACTAACAAAAGGAATATCGTTCAGACAATTTTCAACAGTTGAATGTGGAGAAATAATAAAAGTTTTGTTACTTTCATACGAGTTTAATAAAAGCAAATCTATAGTGAATCAGAAAATGTGAACGTTAGCATGTTTTAATTGGTCCCGTCGCATAGCCATGCGAAAGTGATTTTAATGCAAGCAGGTAGAATCTAACAATCCATTCATCTCAGCCCACTGGTGAGACATTCTTTAAATGATGGTCTCTCTCCTTACTGAATTCAACATTCATCAAACTATTCATACAATCTCATTATTACAACTTTTACAACTACTTGCAACAAACAAACAAAAAAACAAACAAACTATAATTTACTAATATAAAACACAATAAATATAATAATAAAATAATTTTAATATCTGGTGTTAAAATTGATTCATTACATAACACAGTGTCGAACATCACCCTACCAAAATATTTTTCTCACAAAAATAGTTTGTACCAATTTCAGGATTCATCTTATGAACATGTTCATCCAGAATGCTGCCCACCCCTCCTGTAAACATAATGGGCTTTACCCATTCTCGTCTTTCCCCGCCGACATCCATTAAACCGAAACTTCTGGAAAACCCGCAGATAATTGGTTCACCAAATTTGTTACCGTAATCTGAGGCTCCGTTACTCGCTTCAATTAAAATGTTAAGTGGCAATGCTAAGTTTTCAGGATATGTAGCTGATTGGGATGTCTCCCATGGTAAATCGTAACCTGTTTGAGTAAAATAATTTATTCAAATTTTTAAAAAATTACTCATCTTAAAATAATTATTCATCTTAAATAAAATTTTAAAGTTATTTTGAAAAAAAAACCAGCCAGGGATGTGAAGACAGCCAACACAGTACCCAGCAGAACCAGCAATGACCTTTGCCCCACGACCTGTTGCTTGCACATCTCTAATTCGGCCTCCGGTTCCCGTTGTGGCACCTGGGAATGGTGCCACTCCTAAATTGAAAAATCAGTAAAATTCAATTTTTTTCATAAAAATAATTTTTTTCACCAAAATAGTAAAAAAAAATAGAGAATGAAAATTTCTTAAAGATCCAATTGACACCCACCAAGGTTGTAGAAAAATGGTACCAACAAAAAAGTGCCAGCAAAAAGATGCCAGCAGAAAGGTGCCAACAAAAAGGTGCCAACCAGTTGGAAAGTTGTGAGTCTCAGCAGTAAATACCACATGGTGGTAAGTAGGGTAGGTAAACACGAATACTGATGACTTGTATGGGTCTTCCGGTGATAAGGTATATAATTCAAAACCTTTAATGGCACTGAAATTAGTTAAATATTGACAATTAATTCAATAAATCTTTATATGAAAATGAAAAAATAACAATATGGCCAGTGAAAGAGAAATTGAATTAAATTTACTAAATCACTTATTAAAATAAATACTATCATAACTATCTTTTAGTAAAAAATAATAAATTATAATAATAATAATAATAAATAATCAAATAATTACAATAATAATAATAAACGAAATAGTAGAATGTAATAAAAAAAAAAAAAAATAACGCAAATAACCTGCTGTTATCTGAAAATTTGATAACATTATTCTGATTGGTTGACATCTGCGTATCCATGACGATCTTTAACAAGGATGAAGCCATTTCTTGTCCGTCAATAAAAAACTTGCCCTTGAAGAACCAATGGCGACAGTGCTCGCTGGTTTGTGAATATTAATGAGCTGATTATGCTAATGAGCTGAGTTAACATGAATAATTATTGATTAGTAAAAATTCAATTTTGATTGATACAAATAAATATAAAACCCATTCAACTGGTAAATGAACTTTAAAATTATTAAAAAAGGATGAAACATTTTATAAATAACTAAAACACATACAAGTGAATAAATTTTTAAAACATTTAAAATATTGGTATTTTTTTAAATGAACCTGTTCGATTGAGCAAGATCAAAACACTCAACACTGGTTGGATTGCGGTTCAATTTTGATACAAAAAGATCTGTATAAAAATCTAAGTCCCAAGAATCAAAAGATAATCCTGAAAATAAAATTTGCATTAAACTTTTGATTAAGAATAAAAAAATGAATTAAAAACATTAAACTAATCTCAATTTTCAAAAATTTGCTGAATCAGAAAAGTTTAAGAAGTGCCCTGTACCTAATTCAGAACTAGCTTGTTCTAGGGCAGCCCTTCCTTCTCTAATCAGATCAATCTCAAAAATTGGGTCGGGATGAATGTCAAGGTCGAAAGATTCAACTGGTGCATTATAATACATTTGGGTCATCCTATCATGAAGTAGAGGTATGAACTTTGACCTGATACTATTGGCATAACCATCATTATTGAGGTTGTTAGGATTGTTATCAGCAGTAATTTGGCCAGTCTCGTTACCTTGATCTATTTGATGCTTTTGGATTTTAAATAGATACCTGGTGGACTGTTCAATTCGACGAATGCTTTTTAGGCCGACTGATTTACAGATGGAAACTGCATTTGTGGAAAATGCTGTACTTACGTTCAGTCTGTTCGTGCGAAAGGTCAGGTTAAATAGTTTTATATGTTAAATTTTTAATTTTCAATTAACAAAATTTAAAAATAAATAATTTAATTTAATAATAATTATAATAGGGTGCTAAAATTCACAATTTAATTTATTTAATAATAAAAATTAAGAAGCAAACTTTAGTAAACAAACAAATCTACTGTCTATCTAAAAAGAGATATACAGTGCATTGGAAGTGTAAAAGAGAAAGAGAGAAAGAGAGAGAGAGACAGAGAGAGAGGGGAAAATAGATCGAGATAGAAAAATTTTTAAAAATTAACCTAGGCCCAATTTCAATAACATCAAAAGAGCCATCTTTGTCAAATAGATGAGATGTTTTGTTCAGTTTTGATGTTGAGAATGGGCAGCCTATAATCCATTTCAATGTGGATTCTTCAGTTGCTGTCAATGGGGCTGTGAATGTGTGTGTGTATGAGAGTTTGTGTGTGTGTAAGAGAGAGCTTGTGTGATAATAAGTAGTAACTAATGTGCATCTGTGTAAGAAAAAAATAATCAAAAAAATTGAGTTGGAGGATAAGTTAGTTGGTTTTTATGTCTCAATGAGTCTATTTCACATAAATGTGAGGCAGAAACTCAGGAACAAATAAAATATAAACACTCATTTGGTAAAAAAATGCCTAATATATATTTTTTATATATTTAACTAATATTTTAATTTAATTGGTAATTTAGAATTTATTGTTGTCAGTGTGATTAATAATAATTTATAATCAACTTTTAATTTAATAAAATAAAAATTTTATTAGACGAAAAATAAAATACAGATTAGAAAAAATAAAATGTCAACTATACCGGCACAATCCACGTAGTAGCAAAATTCGGCGTCAACTTCGACCTCGTCTTTCAAGCAGGCGCCATGTTTTAATTTTTTCAAAACGCGTTGAGATTCAGAACCGGAAAGACTGGGATGTTGGTAATATTTCAAAACCACCATTTCAAACTGAATAACATTTTATTTTTAAACCGTTAAATAAATATTGGCATAAAGTTCATTTTAAATGTTAAATATTTTCTTTAAAATACTACAAAATATTTTTTTTTAATTTCTATAACTTACCGAAGAACAGCCGATAAGCACGCACGTGCCAGATGTAAACAAGCATAGAAATTAAATCAATATAAAGCGTTTTTTTCATTGAAAATGGTATTAAGCAAGGGGAGGCCTATTTACCAGCATACAACACCTTCTTATGGGTTGAAGCAGGGATATGCAAAGAACATCAATTTTTTCAACTTTTAATTATTTTCAGTAATGTCTCCCCTTGCTCCAAACCACATAACTAGAATAATAGGACTAATCGACCAATTCGATCTATCGGTCGGGCTATTTGTCGTGCTTGGATTGTTGGCTTACGAAATTGCATGGATTTTAACGAGCAAGCTAAATGAAATATTTACTTGATTTAATATGCTTAAAACATTGTAGTAATTCTATTTAATTTTAATAATGATTAATAGAATTATGTATTATTAAATTATTTTTGTTAATTGAATATAAAAATTGCTTTTGGTCCGGTGAAATCCGGTGGCTTACTGAAGCCGAAGGTTGGCTTAGTAGGATTGAACTATAGTCACCCTTTTTTTTACACTATTCGATCATGTTAAAAATTGGTTTGCTTATGAAATAAACGGCCTAAATAAATCAAAATTGTATAAGAAACTGGCTGCTGAAATCATACGTATTGGCTTACAGCAGTGGCTTACAGGGTTTCATAGAACTCTTACGATAGCACTTTTTTGTACATATAATGCTTTAAATAAATCAATATATTCATATCACAATTATTTTTGTCAGTATAAATATAGAAATTGCTTTTATCAGGTGAAAAACAGTGGCTTACTGAAGCCGTAGGTTGGCTTAATTGGATTTTTCTCATGTATACAATACTATGAGATAAATCAATCAAACAATCAGTCAGTCGGTCGGTCAGTCAGTCAACCAGCCAGCCAGCCAGTCTGTCAGTCAATCAATCAACCAACCGATCAACCAACCGATCAATCAATCAACTAAATTGAATGAACCAAATAAAAATAAAAACAAAAATAAATAAAAAAAATTTGCAAGGCCTGTTCAAACTCGAACAAACAGTTAACCGTACAGATCTACAAACAATTTCGAGCTTTTAGTAAAGAAAGAAAAACACAGTAGTTGCTTTTATTTGAATTCATTCAAAAATGAAAAGTGACGGTTAATTAAAATTTTAAAATGTCAATTTTTTTTTTAAATAAACAAATATAACAAAATATCGACCGATAAAAATAATTATCCATTATTATTATTATCATACACACTCCTTAGAAGTTCTCGAAGGATAATAAATCACGTAACATGAACATTTAGTAAGAACAGTTCACAACATATCATAATGACTAAATCAACATACTAAACAGAAATAATTTATACATGGATATATACAAAGTAAATCAAGAAATATCCAAAAATTATATAACCAATTTAAAAAAAACTAGAAACCAGTCAACATTTAATGAATAAATAAATAGACATTATTAAAAAGATTGTTCAAAAAGGTATAATTTAAGACGACGACGAGAATGAAATGTAGTTTGTTTTGTTGGTGTGGTGTTGTGAAGCGAAAACAAACACATCACACAAAACTAGTAAGAAGTCGCAAGAATAATAGTCAGTCACCTACCTATAATAAAATTACTCTCAGGGCCCTAGCTTACTTATAAACATTGACTCAACTCACTTACCTACAAATTTGTATTTCTCGTTTTAGATGTTTCAAGTATTTTATTAAACATATTTTAGCGTTTTTATTTTACTTGAAGCTTTTTAACTAATGTTAAGCCCTAGCCTACCTACAATTGTTTAACTCATCTCAGTCCCTAACTTACCTATGAATTAAAGTCCGGTTCACGGTAAAGAAAATATAAAGTTGAAGAGAAACATAGCAACAACGACACCGAATGAATGGATGTTGTGTATGTATGTGTTGTATTGATGTGTGTGTATGTAAATGTGCGGGCGCGCACTCTCCAGAAACTTCACTCACTACCGACGAACCTCCATTGCACAGACCGTCATCTGACACGCATCGATGGAATGAATTTGACCGGATACTGAAAAATATATTGAAAAAAAAAATTAGTTCACTAAAATAAAAAAAAAGCAATTGGAAAAAATAGGCAACTTATCTTTTTGAGATAACACTCAATCTTTGTTCAAATTCGAGTACTTTCAAAGGTACAATGAGACAAAAACAAATTTACCTTTAACATTATCTTTGATTTGTCATCGGAACGATCATCATGAGAGCACCATCTGAAACGTGCTGACGCCCACCACAGCCCACCTCTCATCCTTCTGTAGACAAGTTTTTATTAATAAGCGAAGTAGTAAATCAAGAAACAAAGGAACGAACGAATAAATGATTAACTGAATGATTGAACGATTGGTTGAATGAATAATTTAACTAATTAATTAATCAACCAATGATTTAATGAATAACGATTTAATGATTTAATGATTAACTGAATGATTGAACGATTGGTTGAATGAATAATTTAACTAATTAATTAATCAACCAATGATTTAATGAATGAATAGAATGAATCAATGAATAAATTAACTGAGGAATAATTTGAAAGATAGTGATAAAATGAATGAATGAATGAGAAAAATAAAAAAAGAAACTAAATCATACTTCAAAAACCGTCGTTGTTGTTATCTTCGAATTGTCATCGGAACGATCATCATGAGACCTCCATCTGTAACGTGCTGATGCCCACCACAGCCCACCTCTCATCATTCTGTAGACATTTTTTAATAGCCTATTAGTAAATCAAGGAACAAAGGAACGATCGAATAAATGATTAACTGAATGATTGAATAATTGGTTGAATGAATGAGTGAATGAATGAATTAATAAATCAATGATTCAATTAATGAATAGAATGAATTAACAAATCAATTAATAGAAGAATAATTTAAAAGGTTGAGTGATAAAATGAACGAATGAGAAAAATAAAAAACAAAACTAAACCTTACTTTAAAAATCGTCGTTACTGTACTTTCCATTGCACCGACCACCACCATCTGGTCGGCACACAAAATACCATCCGAACTTCAGAGTGTCAGTCGAACAGCCAACGAGCTGATTCTTCCTACACCACCATCATCATATGTAAATCATCATGAGACCACCATCTAAAACGTGCTGACTCCCACCACTGCCCACCTCTCATCATTCTGTAAACAAAATATTTTTTATTTGCGTAGTAGTAAATGAATGTTAGAATCTTAGAAGCAAAAAAAATTAAATTATAAAATGAAAATAATGTCAAATATAAAATTTTAAAATAATAAAGTAAGTAAAATGTAAAACCTACCGTCGTCCATTCGACAAAGGCAGAATGTTGAATGCGGTCCGGTTCCTACGTTGTCCTCCAAAACTGGTGCCAGTCCTCGAGGTTGTTGTTGAAACACAGCCCGTGTTGATGGAGAAAGATAGAGAAAGAGTAGATTCTCATCAGAAAGCTTAGCGGTGCCTGCATCTCAAATTGCTTAATAAAAATAATCCTATCTACCTATTCAATTACCTTATCTATATTAAATTGTTAATGGTACGATATTCGAAAGTCTCCCTTCATTCTTCCTCCTTGCACAGAGGTTCACCGACAGCCAGGGCACCGAATAGAAAACCATTGCCGTGCGGATAGTAGACTATTGCCGTGCGGATAGTAAACCATTTGCCGTCCGGAAGCCGTGCGGGTAGTAGACTATGGCCGTGCCGCATGGCAAATCATTACCGTGCAGAAGTAAACCATTGCCGTCCGGATAGTAAACCATTGCCGGTACACCACTGGCCACCAAGGCTTACCTCTGACAACAGACTTCGAAATTCAGAGTCTATCGGCTATCGTACCCTCAACTTACCTATTCATTACAATTAAGCCCTAGCTTACCTAAAATTACAAAAAAACTCAAGAGCCCAATTCATTTGCCAATCGGCACCCACCCCACCACCTACGTAATGCCTTGGGCTCCAACTTAGTAATAATATAAAACTTAAACCCTAAATCTATTAATGTGTGTGTTACAACGTAGCCTTAACTTACCTATTCATTACATTATGGCCCTAGCTTACCTAAAATTACAAAACTCAAGAGCCCAATTCATTGGCCTTTCGGCACCCACCCCACCACCTACGTAATGCCTTGGGCTCCAACCTAATAATAATAATATAAAACTTAATAACTAACTTACCTCTCGATACACTTACAGTGTTTATTTAATTTAAATTACAAGATTGTTCCTAGAATTAAATTATTGCTTTTAACTACCTATGAAATTAAATTACTCACAACCTTAGTAATAATAAATTAGAATATGTAATGAAAATAAAATAACGCTCAAATACTAATATGTGTTTATGTATGTATTTGTGTGTGTGTATAATACGCTGATGCGTGTAATGTGGGTGCGAGAAAAAATAGAAGAGATAAACTTACGCTGCCTACCTATTCAACTACATTAGTGTTGGATGCTTCCTATCTATCCTACCTACAATTAAAATTATGCCTATCTAACCTACCAATATAGCTACTTAATGTAATTGTGTGTATGTGCGTGTGCGTGTGAGCATTCTTACTTAATGTTAAATTACAGAGAAAAACAGAGAAAAAAGAATAAAACGTATCCCAGCCAGGCGTATCTTCTTTGCCACTGAATGAACGAACGTAGCCTGACATCTTCCACGATGAATTCCTTTGGAAGCTTCAACCTGAATAAAATGGATGAAATGGAAAAATCTTTTTTATTTGACTAATTTAAATGAAAATAGAAAAACGAGCCGCGGTGAATTCCACCGGAAAAGCCAGCCAACTGGCAAAAAAAAGAACCGCAAAGAAACCATAAAACGTACCCCAGCAGGGCGTGCATTCTTTGCCACCGAATGAACGAACGTAGCGTGACATCACAACCATTCTGATCGTCCACGATGAACTCCTCTGGAAGCTTCAACCTGGATAAATGAACCTGAAAAACCTAAATGAATGGTAAAATCTTATTTATTTAATTTAAATGAAAATAACCGCAAAGAAACCGACCGGTCGGCAAAGAAAAGAGAAAAGAAGAGCAAAGAAAGGTATCTATATAGGATTTATGCCCTATATAACTCTATATAACTCTATATAACTCTATATAACTCTATATAACCAAACATACTACCACATTCAATCAATAAAAATCCCACTAAAAACAGGAACCACCGCGTACCTGCTGAATGTATGATGTGAAACAAAACAAAAAAAAAACACAAAACAAAAATCACACCATCAAGTAGAGTAAAAGAATAGGAGTCCCTAACCTACCTATGTAACTAAATTACCTTATGCCCTAGCCTACCTATACAATAAATTAATTTTTACCTCACCTACCTATGCTTCATTAACTTAACTCAAGACTCATGAAGAAAGAGAAAAAGGAGTAAAACAGAACATAAAATACTACCACACAAACAAACATGATGTATGTATGTATGTATGAGCAACCGTTAAAGAACCCACCTAAAATTAAAAAAATAACACCTACAAACATTCAAACCACCTACAAACATGCAAACTCTATATAACTCTATATAACACTATATAACTCTATATAACTCTATATAACTCTATATAATAAAATAAATAAAAATAAAAAAAAAATTTAAAAATAAAATAAATGAGATCAGACAGACTGCTTCAAGCGAGGCAGAATGCTGATCTGATTTTCATGTTGTCTCAGCTCCTCTATTTATACTCGTTTCAACCATACATTCTCATCATTTCAATCATTCGCATCAGTAAAAAACTTGTTTAATGTATATACCGCACTATTATACAGTCTTAACCACAATGCTAACCGTACTAAATTGAAGTCATCGAACGAACGCCTTTGAAACTTTCTGGTTGGCTGGTTGAATCTGCTATATTGCTTTTCATATAAACATATAATCTAATATAATATAATTTAATTATTTGTATACATGGATTCCAGTCACTTTATATATATATAATAAAAATTCATTATAAAAGCAACAGTAATCAGTGCTATATATGTACGCACGCAGTTCAAATTTTTCGGGGAGAATTCAAAACTGTTTGAGACCACACCTTGCTAAACATCCGATGCCAAGCCAAGCTGAGCCAATATGCATAGATTTAAAAGCTCTTTTATGTTAATATTTTGTTCACTATATTTATATATTTTATAAATTCATTATAAAAAACAACAGTAGCCATTACTATATATGTACGCACGCAGTTCAAATTTTTCGGGGAGAATTCAAAATAGTTTGAGACCACACCTTGCTTAACATCCGATTCCAAGCCGAGCCAAGCCAAGCTGAGCCAATATGCATAGATTTATAAGCGCTTTTATGTTAAAATTTTGCTCGCTATATTTATATATTTTATAAATTCATTTTAAAAACAACAGTAATCATTGCTATATATGTACGCACAGTTCAAATTTTTCGGGGAGAATTCAAAATAGTTTAAGACCACACCTTGCTTAACATCCGATTCCAAGCCGAGCCAAGCCAAGCTGAGCCAATATGCATAGATTTATAAGCGCTTTTATATTAAAATTCTATTTTATATTCTAATTTTATGGTATTAAGCTAAGGAAGCCAAATAGACCGATGTCTCCATAGTAACAATTTAAAACGACCAAACTAAACATTTTCGCATGCATTTTTGCTCAATAAAATATTAATAAAACCTTTTCTTATATCTTTTTAATCCCAACCCGTGCATGGATGGATATCAACGGCCAGTTCAAGAAACGTGTTGTTATAATTCCAATTATATTTCATCATTACATTATTTTACTTATTAATTACTGATCGACATCGAACATTTACTGACAAAATATGCTTTCCCAAGTTATTCATTTCTAATGTTGGTCATAAATTATCAATATACCGTTTTACAACGCAAAAACATAATTTTGTTATTATCAAATATAAAATATTGCCTTATCTTTATTTTATTGGCTGTATCAAATTTCTGTAAAACGCCAACGATATGACCATGGCTATAGCAGGATTAAAATGTTTTTCTTAATATTTCCAGCTCTGCCAGTGTACGACGTGCACAGATGTACAGCGAAGAGACGTGACCCCATCGTGAACTTTCCACTGGTCAAAGTGGAAATCATAGATGCTCCTCGTCGTAGTCCACACACTCATTTTCCTGGAAACATCATCCATCCCTGTTCTGATGGTGACGTCAGAAGAAATGAGCTCATTGGTAATCTTAACATCTCGTCCAATAGACAAGATAGATCTCAGATTGTAAGGCCCGACGTCACTCCAGGTTCTTTTTTTTCTTTTGTTTCAAATGCCAACTGAATATTTTAATAGTTTTTAGTTGGCTGAAAAAAATTTCGATTGAATATTAGTTCGGATGATGAATTATACTATTCCATGCACTTGAAAATTCATTCATGATGCATTGGACGCATTCAAAAATCCATTAACGATGCATTAGATCTATTTAATAATTAATTTATGATGCATTGTGTGCATTCAAAAATTCATTTACGATGTAAAGACAGTGCTTGTTAAGCGGTTGGCCTTCATGATAGGATCATTGGTTAACATTAATTTCAAGCAATAGTTGTACTTCAAATTTTGAATATTTTAAATTATAAACTAAAATTTCAAATATTTAATTAAATTTTTTCATTTTATTTAAAATAGGCAAAACATACGCCGGTAGCAGATATCAAGTTATGGGACAGTGCTTGATTGGAATAGCGCCTCACATTTTGGAAAAATTTTACACTGCAACTTTATAAAGAATATTTTCGAAGACAAGCACTTGCACACAACCCTACATATGTATATTAAAACAAGGCATTAGTGAATTCATACATAGACAATACATATTCATACATGTACTCACATACATATTCATCCGTCCCTTAACAAGCAATAACAATATTTATGCAAATAAAAACACATCAAAATCAGAATTGTTTTTGTCATTGAACCACTGAGACTGACGTATCTGGGACTACGATACAAAAACGGACGATGAACTTCTACATTAATAATGGTTTGGATGTTTAGTCAGATGCTTATGACAACTCGCTGATTGAACGCATCATTATAATTACACAGTCACACACGTATACAGGCACACACAGTCACACACACACCAACCACTTGAAATAATTAATTGCAGTGCTGCTGAAATTCAAATTAACGTATTTGGCAGAAGTTTCAACGGAATCTTCAGTTAAATGCAACGTCGGTTGGGCTTAATATTGTTAATTAAATGAGTGCTTTGATTCTGTTATTGATATTTTGTTTTTGAACAATAGAAACTAAATCTGAGAATACGGAGAATACGGATTTACGTCAGTCGTAAACCAATTTTCGAAATTCAATTGATGTGAATAAAATATTTAATAAAATAAGTTATCGTCGTTTTTGTCTTTCTATTTTGTATCAACATCTATCTTACACGCGCGCACGCACACACAGACACACAAACACACACTCACGCGCGCGCACACACACACACATCTTTAAAATTTAAGAGCTGCAGGCTTAAAAGTATTTTTATTCTGAATAACTAATTAGCCATTAAGTTAAGGTCGCAGGACTATATCGTGGGTGTGTATGAATGAATGAATGAATAAAAAAAGAAGGGAGAGAGCGATTGAATTATAAAATGAAAAAAGAAAAGATTAAAAGAGAGAGATTGAAAAAAGAGAGAAAGAGAGGAGAAAAAGAACATAAGAAGACTAATATTAAGATTAATATACTTAAGTATTGAACACATAATTAACATATCGTCCTAAATTACCCATCATCTAAGCAAACAAAATTAATAATATTTAAAATAATTACAAACTATAAAGCTAACAAATAATATAATAAAATATAATAATAAATAAAATATAACAAGATAATGAAAAATAACCATGATGGAAATAAATTAACAAAAAAGATCTTGCAGTGTTTTTTTCTCATTCATACAGTTTATTTAGAATTTTAAATCATTAAAATTTGATGAATTGGCTGAAAATGAGATTTAAAGAAGGAAAAACTTTTAAAATCGTAATTATATGTTATTACTAATATTGTTTGAAAAATTATATAGCGTTCCTTTTGAAACCGGAGGTCTTTTCAAAGGCCTTTTTTAGGTCAAAGGTCATTTTATAACAAAATCAATTAAAATGCTACAAGCAGTTCATTAATAAAATACACGGTAGGATAATAGTAATTATGATACATATATATTTGACGTTTAATGATTAAACACACGCGCGCGCGTGCACACACACACACAAACACACAATTATTATATGCATACAAAAAATATATAAACCATTTATAGAACAAACATTCAAAAATTATAAACATGAAACTCCTTTCTACATTTAAAATAGCCAATATTATTTCTTTAATTAAAAATATGTACAAATATACATATGTGATGATGACACTGACTTATATATAGTATAATAATATAGTAATATATAAAGTATAGTATAATATATAAACATACACATGTTTAAATATACGCACATATATGTACACACAAACACATTAAATCAATAATCTTATGCCAAATATATACAAACATTAAAACATTAACTATCACTACTGTGGGAGTTTGCATTCAATTTACCATTGTAAACGCTCTTAAAATAGTTCGTATTTCCGTTGTTATTGTTATAATTATAGTTACTGCTGTTGTTATTGTTGATGTTATTATTGTCGTTATTGTAGTTGTTGGCAATGTTAGATGGATCTAAAATAGTTCCTGAAGAGTTATTCAGATTAGATGGATGTTTCAAGGCTGATGTTAATGAAAGGGGCGCGTTTGAATTTTCGTTTGATGTATTTGATGTTTCGGATTTATCTTCACTGAAGCTAAACTTGACACTCTTTTTTAGTCTTCTCTCACCTGCGCTTTCGTCAAGCGAACTCCGGTGTTTCAGTAATGACGGGTCTCTTGTCTGGTCTAGAGACATTTCAGTTGACATATCTGTAACGTTGATTAGTGCTCCCGATCCGGAAATTTTGTCATTTGTTACTTTGTCTAAGATGGTCACCTGATGGTCATTTGATTGTTTGTTGTTGTTGTCGTCACTGTTGTTGTAGTTTTCAGTCGTTGATGTTGTTGCAACTTGTCTATCAGCAGCTGCATTCTCCAGGTGTAGAGAGTTAGAGACGATTGTCATGTTGACGATGTTTCTGTTAAGGCTGACGTTTGTCGTGTCGTCGGAATAATTTTTTATCAAAATTTTGTTGGATTTGTTTTTGTAGCGGTCGTTGGAATTTGACTCTCGAACATTCTTCTTGCAGGAATCATCTTGGGAATCCGCTCTTATCAACCTCTGACTGCTTCTAGCCGCGTCAAGTTTTGGAGCACCATCCCTGTAATCGGAGCAACCGACGATATATTTATCCCGTTTCTCCGGAATGAACTTGGCGTCCGGATTATCGAACGCCACACCAGCACACCCTCTTCCCTTACCAAAAATTTGTAAAAAGATAGGCGGACTGCGGCCATATTTTTGAAGAACCATAAGCGCTACGATGACGACGATCATTGCAGCGTCTTTGAAGCCCCAAATGTAGAACGAAGCAGGCAGGTGGTGTTTATAAATTAGTGACTTATCTTCGAGTCCGTGCGTGATGTTGATGATGGACTGAGGCAGCATAGGAGGATGATGCTGCAGTTGGTCAGCTCTCATTGGAGACGTCATATTCGGGTCTAGTTGATTTTTAAATGTGGAATTCATCACAAAAACATCGTCGCTATGTTTGAAGTGATGACTGTAATGAATTGAACTTTCATGATTATAGGCACCCTGATAGAGATATGAACTTTCATAGAAAGACGGCCAATCAGATGTTGAGGCTATCAACTGAATCCTGGCTACTAGCTGGGGAATTTCGACAAACAAAACTCCGAACGATCCAATGAGGTACTTGTAAACGTTATTGAAACGTGCTGCGACAACCTCTTGATCACCTCTACATGCCAATGGGCTGACATAACTACAAAGAGTGACCATGCCGTAACTGTTGCACACTATGCAAGCCACACAAACTGTTACCTCAGTGGTCACTGCATAGTCAACTCGAGATGACCCACACAACAAAACCGTCTCGATTAGAGTAACACATTCAATGGACGTGATCAGCCAATAGGAGAAGGTTATTAGAGGTGTCGTAGGGTACATCTTTCGACTCCTTCGTCCCATCATTAGAGCTAACACACAAGGAATAACCACACTTACTTCTATTGCCACCAAAAAGTTTCTCTGTGGAAAATAAAAATTATTATTACAAGTTAAAAATTTTATAATTTCAATATTACACATTTTATTTTTAATATAAACTTTATTTAACAAATATTTAGAGAAAAACTACACTCAAAATTCAATTTTTTTCAAATTCATTATTTTTTTACCACAAATAAAAAAAACTATAACAAACCCTCTCCAACCAAAACCCAGGCACAAAACTAAAATCCACTTTTTGCTCTATAGCAATCTGCCTAATTGGTGACGTTGATTTATTCCCTAAACAATTTAGTGTATCCTTCCAAGATTTCATGTCAATGGATAAACACTCCATCTCGTGTATGAGTGATGAAAGTTTGTTCAGGAGTAAAACAGGCACGACAGCCATACATGCGATGACAGGATCACATACAACGTACGCTACTCTGAAAATAAAATTATTATTTAAGATTATATCGTAAATGAAATAAAATTCTATAAATTATTAATTGTTTTATTCAAAAAATTAACAATTGAAAGTGAACCAACCTCAACCAATTGGCCCCTCTTCTGCCTGATGTGGTGCTATATAGGAACGTCACAAAGGGTAGTACCATGATGCTTAGGCCACCAAAGACGTAAAATGCAACATGGTCAGTGAGGGAGTAGAACTGTGAAACAAGAGTCAAGGTAATTGACCAAATGAACATATGCCAAAGACATCGAAATTTGGCATCTGAACTCGAGAGCATTATTTGATTATTATTATTATTTAGCATGTGAAGATAAATGTTGGCTGACCCTTTTTGGAATAATTTTTTTTACTGTTACTAGCCTTTTTTATGAAAAAATTCTGAAAATGTAAAAATTTTAAATTTTAAAGTTAAAAAATGATAAATAAAATTGATGGTTAAATTATTAAGTTGATTTATTTATTTATGATTGAAAATTAATATTTAATTTATTTATTTATAATTAGATTAGTCATTTGATTAAACCTATAATACAATTAAAATTTAAATAAACAAAATATAATATAAAACGAAGTTTACAATTTAATTATTTATATATATAGTATTTATAGATTATATAAAAATTTGTATCTAATCATTCTTTAATGCCTAATGTAGTAAGTGTTTTTAAAAAAGAAATAGTTATAAAAAATCGTAAACACAAAAATAATTTATCGGCAAAGTTAAAAATTACGAAGTGACATTTTAATATTTTATAAAAAATAGTTAGAAAATTGAACAAATTTTCAGCTTACAACACTCAAATGATCACTAACTTCACTAAAATAGTGATTTTTTGACCAAAAACACGTTCACTTATGATAGGATCACATCACGGTCAATTGAGAATAAATAAATAAATTTATTTTTAGTTTTGGCGTGTTATTAAACTATGAATACTAAATTCTTTCATCATTAAATTAATGGCAAAATGCAATTTAATTTAATTAAAAATGAAATATCAATTTTGAAATTATTTAATAGGTTAATTTTATCTTTAATTTTGTCACTATTTTAACAAATCATTGTGTTTAACGGTTCTACAAGCCAAACATATTATGATCATTGTCATTACATTGAAGTCACCATACTTATTATAGAATACATCAGTCTTTTAATCAAAATTCATCCTTTGTAATCATTATAATAATCATTATTTTAATCATTTTTACTCCCATTATCATCATTATGGTCCCTATCATCATTTAAAACACCATTTATTGACACATTCCTGACATTCGCACAATTTTTAAGAGTTTTCCAGGCGTTGGATCAAACTGAATTTGAATGCTATGCTTTTTTAGTGGCATTGGTTCATTATTACATACCATGAATCATATATATAGAATACTCTATATTCTATATATATTCTATTCTATTCTATATTCTATTCTATAATATTCTATATATATATGCCATGGATATATATAATATATCCATGTTACATACTTATTCTTGTTATGCTATGTATACTTGTGGTTGTTCTTTTCATCACGTTTGAGAAATTATCTCAGAGATGCCGTGTTTCTTTGTAAAAGTTAGTCTTTTTTTATAGTAACTTGAATCAACTGAAGAGTTATCATTGTGTATTACTGAACTTGCGCTATAGTTCGATTACCTCTGAGAATGCGGCGCTGATATAGTGAATTAAAATGGTAGATCTGGTAGTTATTTTTTTATTAGGTTTACATTCATGTAGTATTCAATCTTTTGAGCATGAAAATGTATAACCTGCTAATGGATATTCTGACATTTTAAAAATATAATAACTTTAATCGACCGAATGATAATCATTATGTATTACTGAGCAGGCACATCAGTTGATTTCGTTATATTTGTTTAAAATTCGAACTTTTAAAAAATTTACATTTTGCTGGATATATATATCATAATGACATATAAAGGTAATTTTACTAGCCATACTCCGGTTGTTAATCCGATAGAAATGGTTAAAACGTTGAGAAATCAATGAAACGCTAAGCTAATCAAAACTATTTGAAACAACGTATCGTTTCACTTTTACACATGCCACGGTGTGTCCATTTGGTCAATTTGGTCATCAATATTTATCAATTAACATTAATTATTAAATCTTCATTAAAATAATATCATAGCATTTGTTAGGGCAGGGTTAGTAGGCCGTATGCATCTAACACCCATCACGAATCAACGGTTTTCCAATATTTTTTTGTTTACTTTCAATTTTCAATTCAAATCAAATTATAAAAAATTTAAAAAAACATTGATTAACTTACAATTTAACTAGCATTGACAAACAGATTTTTATTTTTTAATCTTGACTTGTTTAATTTATTTAATTAATTAAATATTAATTAAAAGTAAAGAATAAGTTTTTAATTTTCTTTTTTAATAATTAATATAATAATTGACTTTTTTAAATTTTAATTAAATTTTTCTAAAACTAAAGTATTTTTTCTCTGTTCAATTAATTAAATTTAAACCAACTAAAGTATTAAAGTAATCTTCTCTCAGAACACAAACTTTTTTGTGTTTTATTTCATTATTTGATTAAATAAAGATTAAATAAACTTTTTATTTTATTAAGTACCAAACAAACCTGATAGCTAACATCTTTATTATAAATAATCTAATGTTTTACTAATGCTAACTAACATTGTCAGGATTTAACATGGATGACAGACCAGCTTATTTAAGAGGAAAAGGCCGGGGTCTGCCTAACAGCCATACCAGTAACAATCCTAATTACCCAAACAATCACAACACTAATTGGCCTACCAATCCTAATCAGCCAAGCATCAACAACAGTTGTGCTGGTAGAGGAAAACAATATCACCGCAACAGCAAACCAGCAAATAGCACATTAACTATTGCTACTAAAATTAATACAAACATTGATATGTCTGCTAAATCTGGCAACATCAAAAAACCCATTCCAAATTCCACTTTTAGTGATGTTTCATCTCCAAATAATAATAATAAGTGTGAAAGTATTGACAGTAATAATAATGATAATAATTGTAATAATAATAATAATAATATTGAAGTATTTAATGCTGCCATGGCTAGGCACAAAAAAGCAGCCGAGAAGCATTTAAATTTAAAATCATCACTACTATCAGATGACGACGACGATGATGAAGATGACTATAACGAGATTAAGAAAAGAGATGCTGTATTTAATAATATGCTTGGCACTTTAAATAAAGGTGCTTTGTTGTTGTTGTTGTGTTGGTGGTGTTGTTGCTTTTTGTTGTTTTTTATTTTTGACGCGTTCTTTTCCTCTCTTATATTTCTCTTTGGTATTTTATTTATTTATTATTTAAATTTTTTTTTAAACTAAGTCAATTGCAATAAAATAGCAAATTCTAGTTTATGTAAGCATACACATGAATTGATGCACCACTAACATTAGATTAAATTTTCATACATTTTTACTTTTAAAAATTAAAAATTGTTTATTTATTGACATAAAATTTACTCACATTATTTAGGATCTTCTGATCTGATTAGTCGTACTGATTTAGGCAGAACTGGGGATTGTATAAACGAGACACTGAAGAGCAAAGCTAACATCTGCTTAATTTGTATTGAAACTGTCAAGAAAGTCGATCCTGTTAGCGTTTGTTTCTCTCTCTCTCTCTCTCTCTCTCTCTCTCTCTCTCTCTCTCTCTCTCTCTCTTTCTGTCTTTATTTATCTATTGTTTGTTCATATGTCTGTCTGTCTTTCTATCTGTCTGTCTGTTTATTTATTTGTTTATTAGTTTGTATGTTTTGTTGTTTGAATTGAAATTTTTATCATCAGACAATGTTGTTAGGTATTTAACATAAAAATGCAGACAGTAAATAAATAAATAGATTGAGAAACCAAAATAAAAACAAGATAAATAATTAAATAAATACTAGGTTAATTGAATTAATTGCTAACTAATTATTTCAACTTGAAATTGAGTCACTCTCATGATATTTAGATATGGAACTGCTCTGGGTGTTACACCATGTTCCACATTCAGTGCATTCAAATGTGGATCAGAGATGGCGCTTATCAAACGTCGTCGTCAGCAGCAGCAACAGCAGCAGTAGCGACAGCAGCAGCAGCAGCTACAGCAGTTACATCGTCATTATCCTCTACTCTCTTTCATAATAAGGATCATCCTTGGTTTTGGTAGGTGAAATTGTTGGGCTTGATTTTTTGCCTGCCTCTGGATTCGAATTCAATGAGTTCTTTGGTTGTGTGTTATTAATATTTTGATTTTAGGCGCTATATAAATGACATAATTATCATATTATCATTATCGTTGTTATTATTATCATCAACTATTCATATTCATTCATAGACTAAAAGTTCGTATTACAAACGTTCTCAAAAAAAAAAAAATAAATGAACCGCCCAGCCCTAAGTGCAGGTGCAGCTACAGTCAGTTGGAATTCCCGTCCGTCTATTTTTGTTTTTGCGGGAAAGCCGACAATCCCAGTTTCGATGTCTGGCTAGTGCCGCATTCCTGTGGCCAGGTCTGTAGGAGGAAGTTGAAACCGGAGTGTGGGCACGTCTGCTTGCTACTCTGCCATCCTGGTTCCTGTTTGCTACTGTTTATTATTATTATTATTATTATTATTATTATTATTATTATTATATTATTATTATTAATCATCAACATCATCACCATCAACAGGTCCTTGTCCACCGTGCCCACAAACCGTCCGAACCAGATGTTACTGTGGCAAGGCTGATCCCCAGGTCATTTGCTTTATTCTTTTATTCTATCGTTCATTCGTTCGTCCATTCATTCGTTCGTTCATTCATTCGTTCATTCATTCATTCATTCATTCATTCATTCATTCATTCATTCATTCATTCATTCGTTCATTCATTCGTTCGTTCATTCATTCATTCACAGTTACGGAGATGCGGTTTATCTTCTATGTGGTCGTGTGGTGATCTGTGTGGTAGGCAACTGTCCTGTGGCTACCACAAATGCCCCAATGTCTGTCACAAAGGTTGGTTGGCTGGCTGGCTGGCTGGCTGGCTGGTTAGTTGGTTGGTCACTCATTCATTCATTCATTCATTCGTTCATTCATTAATTCATTCATTCAATCAATCAATCAAAGGATCGTGCCAGGAATGTACAAAACAGAGCCTGCACAAGTGCCAGTGTGGCAGGGAGGAGTTGGTTGTACCGTGTTCAAGTCGTGTTTGGCAGTGTCAACAGGTTTGTGTGTTTGCGTGTGTGTGTGTGTTCGCGTTTATTTTGTTCTTTAAATAAAATATCAATTTATCTCCATCCTCACCATCCAACAACACAAAAGGTGTGCGAGAAATCGTTATCGTGCGGCCATCACGACTGTTCACTTGTTTGCCATTCCGGGCCCTGTCCACCCTGCCCTAAATCGGGGTCAAGGTCGTGCCCCTGTGGGAAAACCAGTTGAGTTATTTTTAGTTTTTAATTTTTTTTTCCTCTCCAACTATCTATCAATTCATCTTTCTTTTATTCAACCGTTTATTAGGCTATCGATGCTTTGCAACTATATGTTCATCATTCATTTATTCATCCATTCATCTCTCTTTCATTCATTCATTCATTTACCTATCTGTCCATTCATCTATTCATTCATTCATTCGTTCGTTCATTCATCCAATCATCCATTGGCCAATCAGAGTTTGACCTCCCATGCACGGATGATGCGCCGACGTGCTTAGAGACGTGCGGAAAGGTACTCGAATGTGGCACCCACACGTGCGTTGAAAGGTGCCACCAGGGACCCTGTGGAATGGTTATCATTGATGATGACGTCGATGATGATGGTGATGGTAATGATGAGGATGATGATGATGAGGATGGGCACTCACACACTGACAAATACACACACACGCACACGTATACACGCACACACACACGCACGCACACACACACACACAGTGCCGGGAGTTAGTGAAGAAACGGTGTCGTTGTGGGAAGAAGGAGAAGGTTGTACACTGTCATAAGGAGTACCAGTGCGATACCAAGTGCACAAACATGAAGAACTGTGCTGTACATCAGTGCAAGAGGAAGGTGAGGAGGAGGAGGAGGATGACGATGACGTTGATGGTGATGATGATGACGATGATGTTGGTGATGATAATGACGATGATGTTGGTGATGATGATGATGATGATGATGTTAGCGACATTGTTGATGATGTTGATGGTGAGGACGTTAATGATGATAAATGATTACAATGTTTGCTTGTTATGAATGATGCATTTTAAGTTCGCCGTGTGTTTGTAGGAAGTTTGCCTGCGTTATTTCTTTCCGCTCTTTATTACGCAACTTTTATATTATTATTATTTAGTATTATTATTATTATTATTATTATTATTATTTTTGTGGCAGTGTTGTGACGGGGCTTGCCCGCCTTGCACTGCCATTTGTGGGAAGATGCTGGCTTGTAGGCAGCACAAATGTAATAGTACTTGTCACAGAGGTTGGTTGTGATTGGCTGGTTGGTTGGTTGTGATTGGCTGGCTTTGATTGTTTGTCTGGTTTTGATTGGTTGGTTGGTTTTGTTTTTTGTTTTGTTCCGTCTAATTGGTTGTTTGTCATTGATTTGTTTTGATTGGTTGTTTAGTTTTGACTGGCTGATTTTGATTCGCCGGTTGGTTATAAATGATTGGATTTCATTGGCCTGTTCAGATTGATTAGTTGGTAGGCTGTGATTGATTGGCTGGCTGTTGTTGTGATGATGTGATGTTGATGTTGTGATCGCACGTCATCAACACCATCAGGGCAGTGCTACCCATGCTGTTTGATGGAGACCCTGCAGTGCAACTGTGGCGCTACAAAGAAGTCGGTACCCTGCGGTGCTGCCAGACACACCAAACCACCCAGGTGTCGACAGTTTTGCAAGTTGGTCCTGCTGCTGATGCTGATGATGATGGTGGTAGTGGTGGTGGTGGCGATGATGATGTTGTAGTGGTGTTGTTGTTGTTGTTGTTGTTGTTGTTATTTTTATCATTGCAATCACCATCAGCAACTGCAATCAACCCCAAATACGACAGAACTCCTCCAGATTGTCACCACCCTTCTCGTCTACCCCACCCTTGCCACTTCGGGCAGTGCCCCCGCTGTACGCAGACGTGTAGCAAGCTGCTTAGCTGCTCTCACTGCTGCCCTGCTGTCTGCCATTCTGCTGTGGAGGTCAAGAATAAGGACAGTCAGCAGCTATCAATAGCGGGACCGTGGGAAATTAATCTGGTATGATGACGTTTGTGATGATGATGGTAACCATGATGGTGATGATGATGATGATAACGTCGATGATGATGATGATGATAACGGAGTTAGTTATTTAGAGTTTCATGTTTTCCTACGAAACTTCCAACCAGATAAAAGATAAAATCGAAGTCGTCTCCAGAGAATGTCCGCCATGTTTAGTCCCAGTTTCAGTCACGTGTTTTGGCGGGCACGAGGTAACGATGCAATAATAATGATAATGATAATGATGATGATAATGATGATGATGATGATGATGATGATGATGATGATGATAATAATAATAATAATAATAATAATAATAATAATAATGGGAACGATCTTTTATTCAGCAATAAAAAACAATGAAAATGACAGTACAGATAAAATAAACTAATGAAATAAAATAAAGTGTCAAATGCAATAAATATAAGTAATAATAACAACAATAATAATAGTAATAATAACAATAATAATAATAAACGATGATGATGATGATGATAATACCCGCCAAATACTAATACGAGACGAAACGATATTCGCAGACGATAATGGTGCAGTGCTGTGACGTCAGGCAGTCATCGTGCCACAGGCCGTGCAGCAGATTGCTACCGTGCACTAACCACAGTTGTACCATTAGCTGCCACGTTGTCGTGGGCGGGGAAATTAGGGAAGGTGACGGAGTTTTATTGGTTGGTTTCTTCTTCCAGTTTTTTTTAATATGGCTGTTTATTTTGTTGTTTTTCGTTGTTGGTTTTGATGTTTTGGTTGTTTGTTCTGGTAGGAAAAGCTTTAAGAGTGATTTTCTTTTCTGATAGCAATGATCGTAATAAATTTTGTTTAGCTTTGTCGTTGTTTTGTATTTTCTTCGAATATAATTTGTTAAATGTAAAATTATCATTTAAACTACCTCTAGTCAGCCGCTCTCTATTTCTTATTCCTCATCCAATCAATCAGCTGGCTCGTTCAATCCAACCGACCAATCACCATTCACTAAATTAGGCCGGTTCAAATTGCGAGACGTGTGATAAGCCGTGCGCGAAATTGAGACACGCTGATTGCACTCACGTTTGTCCTCTGCCGTGTCACTCATCAGACTGTCCACCGTGCACGCAGATGGTGAGGATGAGATGTCATTGCCAGATGATGGTCAAGCATGTCCCCTGTCATCAATGGTGTATTGCCGGTGATTTGGGCGGTAGTTGTGGTGAAAATTGTGGGGATCGGAGTGGTGGGGTGGTAAGTGAGAGGAATGCGTTGAAATCTTGTGGATCTAGGTGTCCAAAAATGGTGAGTGAGTGTCAAAGACGTTCGGTTTTGTTTGGTTTGTTGATTTAAATTTTCCCCCTCTGTTGGTTTTGACTTTTTTGTTGTCTATCAGTTTTTTGTGTACTTTGACGATTGCTGTTTTTGCTTTTAGTTAAAGCGATCTGACGTCATTTGATCACATGATTTCCGTCCTCTTCCTCCATCATTATCAATGTCTTCATCATCCTTTCCTGTTGTGTTCCAATCGAGACATGGTCCGCATAATTCTCCCGTCTTTACAGCCGTCAAAATCGTCTCCATCTTTTTTAAAATCATCACCATCATCATCAACGACAACACACTATCATCATCATTCTCGTCATCGTCATCATTACTTTCATCATCGTCATCACCAGCTTCCTTGCACCCATCAATGCAAATCCATATGCCACCCCGGCAACTGCCCTCCCGATAGCGATTGCCTGGAAAAGGTCAAAGTTCGTTGTTCATGTGGTAGACGTAAGGTGGAGTTCGAATGTCGTGAACTTCAAAGGGGCGGAGCTAAAGTCGACTGCAACCAATCGTGTCAGGCGGAAAAGGAGAGAATTAAGAAGGTCCTAATTTTATTTATGTTTCCTTTGAATTTAAAATTAATTTGCTCCTAATTGATAATTTTGCAGTTTTTTTCACTATTTCCACTACTTTGTTTTTGGTAGTTTGTTAGTTGTATTATCATTTGTACTGTTCACTGTGCATAAATTATTCTAATGAATCGCAGGAGAATGAGGAAGAAGATAGAAGGAGAGCAAAACTAGAAGCTGAAAAATATAAAGAAGAAATAGAAAGATTCGATAAAAGATTGAAAGGGGAGGGGCAAAAGCGGAAACGTAGAAACTTGTCGGCCAAGGAGGACGAAGAACGGTCATTTTTTTCAAAATTTCAGAAATACATCCTCCTATCAGGTCTCGTCGTCGTTTTTGCTGTGTGCTTCTATTGGCTGACCTTTCAATGATTGCTATATTCTTAGTTTGTTTGTAGTTAAAATATGTTAATTATTATGTTAATTAGATGATTGACATTCAGCTTATACAAATTATGTTGTGGTTAACATTATATTATACGTGAATTTTAATTAATTGGTTATGAATTTAAATTTACGACAAACACCAAAGAATAAATATGTTAGCGCGTTTACATTTGCCTAATTATGATCAAATTATTATTTATCTACGATGACGTTTAATGTGAACAAAATAATTACATAAACAAATTTAAAATAAAATTTAAAAAAACGAAAAATACAAAAAAAGGGCAAAATTCTAGAAACACCCAGAAAAAACGTCTTTTTCTCACAAAAAAAGATAAATAACCTTCAAAAAACGAACTGTAAATTTTTAACAGTCAACAAATTTGAAATTTAAATCTGAAGATCAAAATTTTTTGAAATATTTTCAGCCCTTTTAGCTAGAATTAGGTGAGAATTTGTATTCGGGGTATGTTGGTTCCGTTGTAAAACAAGATTATGAGGCTGAAAACGAGGTTTAAGTTAGCCGAAGTCCTTACGGAGTTGAGATAATTGCTGGCTTTTCGATTTGGTATTGAAGGGTTTTAGCGAGATAAAATTGTTAAAAAAACAAATCAAGATGGCGTCGGGTAGTGAAAGGAAATTTTTTTCGTGGTCCAATCTCAATCCATTTACGTCACTCATGGTTGGTTGATTGGTTGGCTGGCTTGTTGGTTGATTGGTTGGCTTGTTGGTTGATTGGTTGGTTGTTTGATTTATTAATTAGTTTATTGTCTGGTTGATTGGTCAATTAATAGCTTGATTGGCTGGTTGATCGATCAAATGATCGGTTTATTCAATTTTTGAATTTTCAGTATATCATTTAAAACAGAATGCACGATTTTTAATATCGAATTTTTGGATCAATTCGGCAATGAATTTTTATAGATTCTTGAACGCCACATTGCAGCTTATAATGAAGCAACCAAACAAAAAATAAAATCATCCCAAAAAATTTAGAAATCGGCTTCGGGTTCAGGTGGCCTACACGGTGGCGGTGGTAGCAGCAGCAGTGGTAACGGTAGTAGCAGCTCTTACAACAAACCGGGAACGGCCTGCCTATCCACCCCTGGAGGAACTCCGCAAGACTGTCCTCTGGAAAGAGAAGATTTAGGTCACTGATTTGCATCAATGATGATTGATTGATTGACCGAATGATTTGTGGAGTGATTGATTGATTGATTGATTGATTGATTATATAGTTAATTGATCGAACGATTGATTGACCGGTTGATGATTGATTGACTGTTTTTTGGTTGGTCGGTTCGTGATTTTTTGTTTGACTGACTGACTGATCGACTGACTAATTAATTGACGAACTGATTGATCGATCGATCGACATATTAGGTAGAAACACGTGGTCTCTGTTGCATACGTTGGCCGCCTACATTCCAGATGAAACTTCCAAAGAAGATAAAGAGGACTTGAAACATTTCATGGCCACACTGGGAAAGTTTTATCCGTGCGATGTTTGCGCTAACGAGCTCGCTAGCAGGCCTGTCTAATTGTTTACTGTTTATTCGGTCACTTTATTAATTAATTCAATGTATACTAACTTTTTTATTTGATTATTTTTAATTTAGACCATTTCAATGTTTAATTAGTATCGGATTACTTTAATATTTGATTGTTTAATGTATTTTCGGCGGCCAGATGGTGTAACTGTAAAGGCGGTTGCAGTGACTGGGTTTGAATGCAAAAAGATCCGTTTCTGCCGCATGCAATACGTGTATAGCTTGGATTCATGCCTGAATTTAATTTTTTTTTCTCCTTTCAGTTTAAAACAAAATCCGCCAGATGTCAGGTCGAGGAATGACTTTTGCCAATGGATGTGCAGACTACACAACAGTGTTAACGAACGCTTAGGTGAGAAGAATGCTTTTATTATTATTGTTATTATTATTATTATTAACCTTTATTGATTAGTAATTTTTATTGATTTGTCAGGAAAACCCTTATTTGATTGCAGTAAAGTCGATGAAAGGTGGAAAGATGGATGGAAGGATGGAAGATGTGATTGATATCGTCGTCATCCAATTGAAATGTTTTTATTTCAACCATCATCCAATCAAGTACTCGTACCAAATTTGCCATCCAATGAGATTGCTCGTACTAAAAACTTCAACCAATGGCGTTGAACTGGTCGAAACGTCTGATTGCCACTTAGAGTGTACTTGAAAGTTTAAAGCGGCCAATCATATTTGTCCAGATGAAAAAACACATTACATTTTAAATTCTTTTTTTATTTATTATATTTAAAATAAAATATGTCATTGTTTGATAGTAACTATAATTTATAAAAATATAATTAAATTTATTAAGTTTGTTATGGAATCTAAGATAGAAACTTTATTGCGATAGAAACATCTAAAAAGCTATTAAAAATATATCTATAGTTGAAAATAAAAAGTTGAAAAATGATTATCAGTATTGTTAGAAAAAAGAAGCACAAACTCAAAAACTGCTAACGAACAGATCATGTAGAAAAAATCATCCCATATAATCATGGATATATATATATATATATATATATATATATATAATTATATATGCATATAATAACAGAGTGTATATTGTTGGTTTCATATTTTGGAAACTTCAGAAAAATGAGTAATTTTTCTACGGTTAAAAATTTACTTTCGCCTGATGGAGTGCGTGCCAACCGTTGGGTTCCTATCAAATATAAACTCCGTATTTATACCGAAACTGTTGAACCTGAACGTGTCCTGCTGTGGAAACGGAACAATAGAGATGCTTCGCGGTATTTCAATTTTTTCCCCAATGTCAAGCAGGTAAGCTTCTCGATTATTAAAATTACAAACATAGCAAGAATTTTTTTTTTTCAGGCCTCCAGGGGTAGATGAACCCCTGCCGCTTGTCATCATGGGGTAGATGAAGGTCGCCCCTTTCATCATCATGTCAGCAATATCGATGACATCTGTGTAGAAAATTTCAACGTGGCAATTCGTAGAGCTTGAAACTTTGAAGGTCTTTTGAGATTGGTCGAATGAAAAAAACGGGTTGTCGAGCCAGGATAGTTTGGGTAGATACTTTGTGCAGAAGTTGTCAGCTGAGCTCTGACTTCTGGTTAGCACAAGAGTTGTGTAGTGGTATCTAGGATCTGTAGTTTGGGATTTTATTTTATTTTACGTTGTTTTTTAATTTATCATTAATTTGTGATTTTAAAAAAGTAAACAAATAAATGTGATTTATTATTAAAGTGTTTGAAAATATGGCAATGATGATTGGCTGTTTGAACCATGCATGCCAGTCATTTAAACACAACATTCGGAGATGAAAATTTCTCACTTTGAAGGCAAAAAAAGTCAGAGAAGTACAAATTCATGACGTTCAAATTATCAATCATCGTTTCAACGGGAACTAGAAACCTCGTGTTGCCAAAATAAGTGAAACTTTGTGGCTGGCCAGTCCGCGAGTCAGGTTCAACGCTGGCGTAGAAAAACAAGCCAGGTAGTTTATCGTTGATAGGGTTGTACTTATCCCCACCACAGTCTTTCATGTAAGGAACCATCTGGAAGTTCTTATTATTTATGATGTCTTCGAAGTATTCTTTGGATTTGTTTCTGTAGAGATACTTGCAAAGGACCATGTTGTATATGGAATAAGTGGCTTTGGCTTTCTTGAGAAGTTCATTCATTCCTTCCATGTCGTAGCACTTTTCAGCAACACTGGGAACACCACAATTTGAAAATAAGTTATGGTAGTTACTAGCAAACATTTCGAAATTTTTCCGCTTGTCTGAAGTATAAAAAATTGTTAAGATGAAAATAGGCTGATGTTAAATTTAAACGAAATTTGCGATGTCTCATTGAACGATGTTCTTCCTGAGAAGCGTTATTTCATTGCTTTTATGAACCTGTGTGTCAGTGATAAGAAATTGAAATGGAAAATGTTTGAATGTTTGGAAACCAAGACATGGTTTTTCCAAACATTTTGTTTTACTTCGATGTAAGTTACTGAAAGTCTCGGGTTTCCCAAAACATTTGTTTCGAAGCTTCTAATGTTAAAATTATTTTGCTAGTTTTTGTTTTATTCTTTGAAAACGCATTGTACAGCCGGTATGGTTATAAGTTATTATGATAATTAATAGTAATTATAATAACACACCACACACACACACACACACACACACCACACACACAAACACACAACATAAATTATCATTTATTCTGTTTAATTTTAGCTTAGAAATGAAAGAGAATTGAATGAATTTTCATCATTTAATATGCTAGCACCGTGGTTTTGGTTTCAAAGTTATTTTAAACTCGATTGGAAACTTACAACTTTCCTTTCACTTTCGAAACCGTGTCATTTCATCTTAAAAAAATAAGGTTGGAAACAGTGATGTACTGTCAAATGGAGAAATTGCCCATACTGTCAAATGAAGAAATTGCTTTTTGTTTTGTTTTATTTTTGTTTTATTTTTGTTTTGTTTTATTCTTTGAAAACGCATTGTACAGCCGGTATGGTTATAAGTTATTATGATAATTAATAGTAATTATAATAACACACCACACACATACACACACACACACACACACACACACACACACAACATAAATTATCATTTATTCTGTTTAATTTTAGCTTAGAAATGAAAGAGAATTGGATGAATTTTCATCATTTAATATGCTAGCACCGTGGTTTTGGTTTCAAAGTTATTTTAAACTCGATTGGAAACTTACAACTTTCCTTTCACTTTCGAAACCGTGTCATTTCATCTTAAAAAAATAAGGTTGGAAACAGTGATATACTGTCAAATGGAGAAATTGCCCATACTGTCAAATGGAGAAATTGCCCATATTGTCAAATGGAGAAATTGCAACAGTGTAACAATTGCATTATTGGTAGCAGCAGTAACTGTTTATCTAGTGGTAGTAGTAGTAGGAGTGGTTGTTATGTAGTATTGGTGGCAGCAGTAGTAATAGTAGTAAAAATATTTCTTACAGCAGCAGTAGTAGTAGTAACAGTATTGAGAGTAACAGTAGTAGCAAAAACTACGTCAAGTAATGTAGATTAGTTATTTAATACTGGAATTTAATCTAGTAGTTGTGTGATATAAATACGTAATAAAGTAATTTTAATAATTTGTTTGGAATAAAATAAAAAAGTAGTAGAATACGATTAATTTCATTGTAAAGATTACATCAAGAACTAGGATTAATTTGGATAATTCTGAAAATTTTAGCAACTTCAATTTTTCTACAAATTTTTCTAACGGCAACTTATTTGAAATGTACTTTTGCTAAACTTTTTAAACCAAACTGTTTTTTTTTATATAAAATCTTAACAATTGATTGAGAGCTATCATTGATCCTAGAGAATAATAACTCATGAAATCAATAAAAAGAACAATACTATGCTAAATCTGCATTTGCTTTTTCTGGCCCTTTCCTCTGGAACTCCATCACTTACGAAGTTCAGAGCGAATCACAAAACCCATCTGTTTGCAAAATTCATAGCGGAGCGCTGTTGAACAAATTTGCCATTTAAGTACATATGCGGCCCTTCGGAGGTAAAATAGTTCTCAATGAGACCCTCACAGCAAAAAGTGTTATCCAGTTACTTAAATTTATCTTCCTACACAGCTAGACATTCCTATTTCGATACTTTATAAATACTCATATAATAGTAATAATGATAATTATAGTATTATATTACTTTATAAGGTATACTGTTTTACGATAACTTGCTATACATTACTACGTTACAGCAACTAAATTAAAATGTCACATTAAAACACTGTACTGCAATACTACGGGCTTCTGTCACGTACCATTACGTAGTATGTATTATATTTCAATAGTTGAAAAGTGATTTTTCTACTAACTCAATTGCGAATGCCAGTAAATTAGTACCATTAGTAATAGTTACAACTCCTTTAAGAATGCTAAGATTTTGAATTTACAATAACTTCCTTGTGTTGCAATATATAATGTATCAACTTATTTATTTAAAGACTTCATTTTGTAATAATAATAATAATAATAATAATAAAAAGTAGTAGTAGTAGTAGGTAGTAGTTGTAGTAGTAGTAGTAGTATTGGTAGTAGTAGTAGTAGTAGTTATTAGACAATGAACAAACAACATAATGGAAAATGGGTTTTTGGGGTTTTTTCAAGTTGAAAAATGTCTTGCTTAACATTTAAAGTACAAATAATAATAATTATTTCTTTTTAATATATTAATAATTAATAATAATAATTATTATTTTTATTATAATTATAATTTTTTTATTATGGCTACAGTGACATGGATAGAACCTTCAGCAATATCGACAGCATTAGCAAAATAAATATTTTAAATAATAATAATTAATGGTAATATTAATAACGAATAATAATAATAATAACGAATGATAATAACGAATAATAATAATAATAATAGCTACCATGTATTTAAGTAGCACTAAATATGAAACGTTTTATAAATCCATATATATATATATCTACATACACATGTCTATATCTCATTTTATTACAATAAGATCCAATGATCACGATATGTTATTGCAATGCATATTGATTTATTATTAAATTTTAACAAATAAATTAAAATAAAGCCTCTTCCTCTCTCTCTCTCTCTCTCCCTCCCTCTCTCTCTCTTGAGCATAGTAAGGTGACGTGATAGAAATGTAGTGTCGCCACAATAAGATATATGAGTGTGGGTGGTTGACGAGTGGGAAAGAAGAAAGAAGGAGCCATTTGAACTCATCTGGAAACCATACATCGAACGATCCCATCACGGGAGCTGCTAGTAAACAATACTAGCATAATATACGGTAACAAGAACCACGGCCATCTAAGAATCGCTGAAGCCATCTTCATTGACTAAAGACAACCTCAAATTAACGAGCAGCAAAGAATAGCAACATCTTCACAGACCAGATGAATTTTATTGAAAGAATTTACAAGCAAAGAGAATGAACAGAGAAAAGATATAACAAATGGACAGAACCAATATATAGCAAATGGACAGGACAAAGCAGAATGAAAGCACTTTGTACACACACAGAGAATTGTAAGACTTTGAAATATCCCTGTGTATAAGCGCTGATGATGAGAAAGTAGAAATATAGCCTATACGCTTCACCATGAACACCAATGATTTTCTCACTGATTTCAATAAATTAAATAAGCTTCAATAATTATAAAATTACCGTTAAAAATATTGAGAAGCTCAGCCGAAAAATTTCAAAAGCTAAAAATTCGGTAGATTTTATCAAATATTGCATCAAGTTTTTTTTAAAAACAATGTTAGATTACTTATTAGCCGAAGTAGTAGTAGTAGTGGTAGTGGTAGTAGTAGTAGTAGTGGTAGTAGTAGTAGTAGTAGTGGTAGTAGTAGTAGTAGTAGTAGTAGTAGTAGTAGTGGTAGTAGTAGTAGTAGTATTTGTTGTTGTAGTAGTAGTAGTTGTAGTAGTGGTGGTGGTTGTAGTACTACTAGTAGTAACAGTATCGGTGGTAGCAGAGGTAATAGGGCTAGGCGCAGTTGTTTGTGAATTGCTGTTTAGGCTCGTCGGTAATTTGATCGATTCTTTAATAGTCGGTATCGAAACCGTAGGACTATTCGTCGGTTGACTGCTGTACATTCCTTTCATGTCTACGTCATCAATGGATAGAAGCTGACAGGGTTGGGCTAATCGTACTGAGAAGTAATTTGTGCTGTTTTTAAATTCGGTTACGATTAGCGGCATGGATTGCTGGAGGCTCTCTGGGGACGCGAATCTCAGGATGAAAGATGCTATTATGCTGCCGGCACTGTTCAAATGTTATTGTTTATTGATTATTAAAATTTAATTGAATGGTTAATTATTTTAATCAATTAGTAGGTTAGAGTTTTTAAAATTTTTCCGTTAATTATATAAAAGTTTTAAAGAAACATTTTCAAAGTCGAAAAGAAATTTTGGAATCTTAAAAAATTCAAAATGGACTTACGTGAAGCGAACGTCAGTGCAGTTGGCTGCTGCAGACGACGTCGACTCTTTGGTCGTCAGCGATAAGAAGTTCAGAAACTGACGAACAAAATTAAACAAAATATACATCTTCCGGTTTATCATTTACAATCTTTGCTTAAACGTCTTAAATATACTCCTAAATATATCATTCTTTACAAATAACATTCGACAAAATGGTGTTTTCAAACAATTTCAGACAATTCCTATTTCTATCATAAACTGAATGAGTTAACGTTATAATTATTTATCACAACAAAAAAACTCAAACCACACACAAAAAAAATCAATCCTTTTCCTGAAAAAATCAACCCTCCAAAAATGATAGACCCCTAACCGTTTGGCAGACGGCATTACTCAAATTTAAGTATGGCTGACTCTTAACATCGCTCAGTTCAGCGGCATAGAATGCCTCCATCTTAATTTTAATGGCAGAAGTTGTCGCTTTTGAAATAAAATTAAAATTTAATTTAAAATAAATTTCGATTAATTTTAAATCAAATTATAATGTTGTTATTAATTGACTTAATTAAATTTCAGAGGTATCGACAACGCACACACACACAGACACACACACACGTGAATCCACACATCACACACATTATATATGATATGCGAGGATCTTTTCGCATTCGAACCCGGCTCTCTCTACAACGGCAGTACATTTTACTATATCATACCACCATCATCATTATATATAAGATATTATATATATAAATAATATAATTAAACATGAATAAATAAAGGTTTAGGCGTTTAAACAATTTTTATATTATAAAAATTACACTTTTCGTCCCTTATACTCACCACCGACTGAATTGTTTGAGGAAGAAACTGTAAGAAAGGTTTGAAATTTCAATTAACATCATTTTATTAGTAGTAATTATTAAAAATACTAATGTAACATTGGTAATGACTTACACTTTTTGTCATTGATTTGATCATTCTTAGATATTGTCTTTGAGAATAAGAGAATTTGAGAATACTAAATTACGTGTGTGCATGTGCAATTGTGAGACTATCTACGTACGTGCGTGTTTATTTGTTTGTGTGTGTGTGTGTGTGTGTGTGTGTTTGTGGCGTGATCTTACCTAAGCCGAATTTGAGTCCTAGACCCAATGCAACTGCACCGGCTGCTGTGAAAAGAATCAGAAGAAAGAGCAATACAAAAAACAAGCACCGCCTTTTTGCAATGACCGATTCATCAATACTTCTTTCACGGATGGACTTGCCATTACCCAGTTTATCATTGGCCATTTTTTGACTATAAATATCACTATTTTCAAAATTACTTCTAGCTAGTCCTACTTTCCCCACCTGCCTAATTTCATTAATATTTTCCTGATTTATATCTGAAAATGCTGATTTCCTAGATGAATTGGAGGATTCTTTTTTCTCCGGGACTGAAAGTTTAGCGCCCAGTGGTCTAGCGCCGAACTGTTCGAATCGATCTTTCAGTACTCGCTGTTCGTCTGGCGGGAGATTTTGATGATTTTGAAGGTTTAAATTTTGATGCAAGTTGTTGTTGCCGCATGTGTCAAAAAATTCAGCTTTTATATCAAGAGTGCTATCGGGACTGCTGCCCTTGTTGCTATTGCTGTCAGTTCTGTTGATGTTAAGTTTGCTGTTGATGGCGTTGTTAATGTTATTCATGTTACTTCCGTATATGTTGTTGTTGCCAACCTTGTTGAAGAATGATTTGAAGACTTGGTTGTCGGAGCTCAGTCTGTAACTATTGTTCTGACTGCCGCCTTGATACGTCGCCGGCTTGAAAAATTCCGGGGGAATTTTGCTCTTGTTTGGCATTTTTGGTTGATTGGATGGTTGGCTGATTGGCTGGTTGGCAGGCTGGTTGGCTGGTTGTTGGTTGACTATTTATGTTATTTTTTTGTTGCTATCGGTATTATAAATCTTTGTTGTTGTTGTTATATGTTGTTGATGATGTTAATGAATTTTTTCGTGTTAGTGGTGGTGTGGTATTTGTAGTCTCCCTGCAGGCGTTTCAACAAATTGTCGCCAGTGTCGTTGTCGTCATCGCTGTTTTAAAATTTCTGTCGTCTCAACATCACAATATACAAATAAATAAGCAAATAAATTTATACTATGTCTCTTATATTTAATTAACCTACATTCAAAATCAATTTTGAATCGAAATTGAGAAAAAATTCAGACTCCATTAAAACACACACCTTTATAAATATAATAATAATAATAATAACATCAAATATACGTATACCAAAAAGTGCTAATGTACTCTACTCAATATTTAACATACCGAAATGTTCACCGGCGCAGATGACGTGCTAAAGCAGCCTAACAATGCAGTTACAATAGTGGGCTTATCTATGTTGAGGAATAATTTGATTGGCGTAAATCTACAACCGCATCATTTTTCATTTAACATTCACTCATTCAAATCTACTTGTATACGTACTCATATACACGTACACACATACATACACCTGCACACACACATACATACATACACATACACACATACATACATACACATACATACATACATAAGGTCGTGTGTCGTATTTACCTTGTCAATTGAATTAGATTTTGATGAAGGCATATTGATACAATGAAATACCTAATAAATTCCATTTATAAGACACCTAAACATACAGTCATACATACACACAAGCACACACACATACACATACACTCACTGTTACACACACACATATATTGAAATAAAATATACAAATATCTATAATAGATAATAAACAGTTATTTTTTGAACTGAATTCAAACAGCTTGAAATAAAAAAGCGGTCATTTAATCGGTCAAGCTGGTCAAGCTATTCATCCAACAAAAAATATATATATATATATATATATATATATATATATATATATATATATATATATATATATATATATATATATATATATATATAGTAAGGATAATTACTAGACGATGATAATGACGACGACGATGATGATTGCAATTGTGAACAAGAATAATGATGATGCTTGTGATGATGATAATGATGTTGGGGGCAATTGGTATGTTAATTGCTAATTAAGATGGGGATGAAAATGGTAATTATGATTTGGAAAATGATGTTTAACGAGATGATAAGGATATTAATGATTTGTAAATATGATGTAATATAGTGAAAAAACGATGATGTTTGACTAGCAAGTTTTTTATAGTAACAGGGATAATAAAAATGATTATATAGAAAATGAATTAACAACTTTGATACGTTTTATTAAATTTTTTAAAAGTTAGGCGCTTTAATATTTGTCATCTTATTTTTAATTTAATTTTTAAAATGTAAAGTAGATTTAAATTTTAGGCAGTGGGCAGTGGAAGTTTGTAAAATATTTGACTGTTTGACGTTTTTAGAACCGAATTAGTGAATTAGTGCACGTCAATTTTTAGTTATTTTTGTAGTTCAATGTTGTAAATTTGAAATTTTTCTTGATGGAGGTATTCCGGCCAAACACAACGGAATTTTACAGATCTGATGAGTTTAATTTGACAAACTCAAATTTTTTCACTAATGATTTTGTTCCTGATCTACTGTTTAATGAAACCGCAGACGAGATGTTGACGTTTTACGGCTATGATTTAGGCGGTGGAATATTTTATAACAAAAGCGAATCTGGGGACAATTTTTTATATTCAAACTCGCTAGATGACATTTCAAATGACACTGGTTTCATTGAAGAAGTATTTCTGAATTCTACTGTTACACAACTAACCAACTTAACTTACAATGTCACATATGGTAATCCTGCATGTCCTAACATATCTCTGAACGACTTCTCAGTATTACCTTCCATAGTTTACATTGTTTTGGTGCTCCTTGGGTCCTTTCTCTGCGTAGCCGGTAAGTCATGTTGGAAAAATGTTACTAATTTCATCCAAATATTTAATTAGTGAATAAATTGACATTGGAGTATATTGTTATTTTATGTTTTTCAGGATTTCGCTGCATACGCCCCTCATTATTCATCATGGCTACAGCATTAACATCAACAATAGTCTACCTAATATGCTGTGAAGTTTTTGTACAGAATCCTCTTCCACCTCTAGTCATTGCTGGATCATCAGTTCTGTCAGGTATTCTTGTAGGATTGGCCGCCTTGTTCCTGATTAGTGTCGGCATTCGTGTATCTTGCTGCAAAGCTGGTTTGGCTTTTGGCATTTACATCTTAGTATCGGTTCGACTATTCCTCAATTATCCCAACCCTTCTTATCTCAAAAGATCTGTCGCTTCTCTCTACTCAAATAACGATGCCAAAGTTGTTAATATTGTGAATGATGAGAACGGTGTTGAAGTCCTCGCCAATGATGACAACAGTTACAACCCATTAAACAGCATCGACGATGACAGCACATCTCCCAGATCATCGACGTCATTATTAGAGGATGACATTCATTACATCATCCCAATCATTGTCACCACCATCATCCTGCTAGTTTGTTGCGTCCTTATCACAATCTTCTCTTTCATCAAACCAAAATTTTCACTAATTTTTTCATTTTCTTTAGCCGGTTCTGCCATGATCATTCTGGGGATAGATTTTTTCACCGATAAACAACTCACTCTAACTAATCTATTTATAGATTGTTTAGTTGTCAGATTGGGCGGAATCAGTGATGTGACAGAGCACATAGAACTAATAACTTGTTGGACCACGTGGATTGTTTACGGCTTGCTACCTGCTATGGTTCTGATGTCTTTGCTCTTTCAGTATCTTTGCTCTGCCAGGGGCATAAACTATAGTTTCAAAGGTGTTGGAGGTATGTGTTCAAGAAATATGATTAACAATTATGATTGTACTAGTGTCATTATTGTTTTTATAAATTTTTATAATTTTTTTTTTGATTGCCAGTTTGTGGTTATAAAAGGAAGGAGGCTGGAATTGTGTCATCTTCATCACCTCGTCGCACCGAGCTCACTAGCGCTGGTGGCAAACGTACTCTAGATCGCGTCCCAGTTTTGAGTATGGACCCCAGTGAGAAGTACAGACATCTCTATAGAGTTAGGAGAACTAATGGGGATGTTATTTCTAGGGTTTGTTTGGTTGTTCTTGTTATTTGGTTGTATAATTTTTAAATTAAGCGCATCCCTGTTTTTTACCCCACTGATATTAATCTATAATTCGTACATCTAACTAAGGAAACGAATGAATCTGTTATCAATTAGATTAAAATAAAAATAAGTACATCTCGTTTAATACCCCAACTAACACTAATCTCTAATTTAGACCCAGATGGAAGCCATTGAAGTTAGGAAGTCGAATCCGATGATGATGATGGTGGCCACTAGCTCCAACAGCGATGTGACCACTACGAATGATGACGCCGATGACGTTACGCTCGTGCTCACTCGCACCGGGGATGAGTAAATGAATGAATCAATGAATGAATGAAGGAGTGCAAGAATGTGATTGGATGAATGAAGGAGTGAGAGATTTTATAAATAGGTGTGTGAGTGAATGAGAATATAATGAATGGTGAATGAGGAAATGGATTGGTGATTCATTGAGTAAAATTATAAATTTGTCAACTATTATAGAATGAATGAATGAATGAATGAATGAATGAATGAGTGAAAGAACATATGTATAGATGGATGCTTGGCTGGATAAATATTTGAAAAATGACTTTAATATAGAGACGCAACTAAAAATCCAGTACATGAATAAATGAAGAAATAAATTAAGGAACAACCGAATGAAAGAATAACTGAATGAGTGAGTGAATGAATGAATATATGATGAATGAATGAAAGTCTAAATTTGTAAATGTAAAAATTTAAGCTGTTCAATTCAACAACAAATCATTTAATTTTAATGGAAACGTACGTACGTACACGCACATAAACACACGCACGCACACACACACACACACACACACACACACACATGTGTAAACTAGTCATTTAAATAGTTTCAAAATTAGAATTTGAGGAAAAAAATTTCCAGGCTTGCCCATTCATTCATTTCGTTTGTATTAATGACTGATTTTATAATTGATTGCATGTATTACTATTTGTGTGTGTGTGCGTGTGTGCGTGTGCGTAAATATAGGGGCAAAAAATATGTATATGTACGTTTCTACACGTCAGTTTCGGACCAGTTGTATCAAACGATGTACATCGTACATACATTTTATTAATGTGTGTGTGCGTGTGTGTGTGGGTGTGTTTTTTACATGTGTGTTATCAGTATGCTGTGTGTTTCTACGCTTTTATATCACTAGACATTTGAAGCTAATATCGAAGACAATTGATTGAAAGTTTCGCGATAGCTACTTACTAGCTTTATGTATATATTTCGTGTAATATGTAATATTTATCGATGAGATTACTACTACTACTTCTATTACTTCTACTACTACTACTACTACTACTACTACTACTACTACTATTATTATTATTACTACTACTATTCCTACTACTACTACTACTGCTACTGCTACTACTACTACTACTATTGCTACTACTTTATTAATATTATTAATATTATTGCCTTTATAATTATTATTTTCGTCAAAATTCTTTTTAATTCAGTCGCATGAATTTGATTAGTTTATATGTTAATTGACGTTATTATTAGTTTTTTTTCTTTTTTATCTGTCGCTTCATTAGATGTTATTTTTGCATTATCATTATTTTTATTATTATTATTACTATTAGTTTTGCGTGTGTGTGTGTGTGTGTGTGTGTGTGTGTGTGTGTGTGAGTGAGTGAGTCCAGTTGATTTTTCTTTCCTCTACAATAATCTTACCTTCAACTCTCCACTCTCCTGATAGTAATGATGGTGACAATAATAATAATTAAATAATAATAATAATAATAATAATAATAATAATAATGCTGATGACGATGATAATATTAATTTTTTCAATAAAATTATACTTTACACTTGAATGAATAATAGCTTAACTTTTTGTTCATGTTTTTTGTGTTTTTGGTTCGTTTATATATTTGAATAATATATGCATGGACGGATTGATCGATTTTTATTGGGGAATGAACGGATGGATGAATGAAAGGATGGATAGATGAATGAACGAAAGGATGGATGAATGAAAGGATGGATGAAAGGATGGAATAATGAATGGATGGATGAATGAAAGGATTGATTA